TTGATACTCCTAATAGTTGAAAGGAGTGGGCCATTGTCTAAGTGTTACAGTTTTGATGGAATTAATCCATCATTAGGTGCAATTGATGTAAATCAGAAAGCAATTCCTATATCAAGTAATTAAGGGGCTCCCTAGATTCGAACGCTTAAGTTCAACTTGCCAAATAAAAAAAAAATCAAACATATCGAAAATAAACAAGAAAGGTTATACAATTTTTAGAACACCTAGGATGAGGTAATGGTGGAGAAAAACGATATAAATTGTCAATGCTTACTGACAATTAGCAACAAAAATATATAAAATTAAGGCCTGATATTTAGATGAAGCCACCCATTTATTTAATGTCGAGATGTCAGAATATTTAACAATATAACGACCTTATTAGAATCATTTGGTTTTGAAAATACTTTTCTATACCTTAATTTGAAAAGTATTATTAATTTGATTGATCCTATTACAGCAATTCTTATTACAAGAAGAAGAGAGGATGGAATTGATGAGGCAGAGAAGTAAAAGTAAAAATGGAATTAGCAGTCGGCACATCAAATATAATATTACTGAAGTAGGAATACCAACGTTTAAAATACCTAAAACACTATTGACAAAACTTGCAAGTGCTAATGCTGCGGTTTAATTAAGTTTATGAATTTTGTGAGCATGAAGGAGATAATAAATACAAGGCTGAAACAGAATAGTAGTGCTCTCAATATGTTTTTAGGAATTGGATGAAAATCGATTCCAAGAAAGGAACACATATATCATCTCAAGTATCAGAACGCCACTTACAGGGTGTTATCGCAACCTTATTAAGAGTCGTCATTAATACCTAATATACAAATTTTAGAGTTCAAATATTTCTTACAGGAAGTATTTATAGTATTTTAGTTATTAAAGATATCCCCACCCTAAAATATTATGTTGTTTGACTTGGCATATAAGCCTACTCTGAATACATGCGCAAATATACGATGTGCATACACTAGCTACTCCTGAATACAATAATATAGTTGGGACTGTGTAATTCTTAACAAGTTTTTTGTTATGTAAGGCACTGACTGTACAGTATATGAATCTTTGCAAGCGACTGATGAATTCTCTAATATACGAACTACCAAGGGATACTTGCTTTTTTCATAAAGTCAAAGCAAATTTAGATAAAAAAAGTTAATACATGTAGCATTAGTTTGATTCCATTAATTTTTATGCCTAGCTATTTATTATAAAGTAGAGTAATTAGTTCAATAAGTTTTCCCTTTATTGCTACAAGTAACATAAAAGATATCAACTCCTTTACCTGATAATCAAAAAAAAACTTGTGAACTACAAATTTACAGATTAAGTTCTAATCAGATGCTGATATCTATCAAAACAGGTATAATCGCAAGTTCATTTATCAAGAATGATTACCAAGTATGCAACATAAATTAATGCTTCACATTTAATGAGTTATCATTTACAGTTGCACAACTCATAATTAGTTTGAGCAGTTGATTTGGGATGGTTCACAAAAAGAAACAGATGTTGAGAATTTCATTAATGAGTTGATCTTGATGAAAGATAACTTGTTACCAGAATCAAGGAAGTCTCAAAAAAATCAGCACATTCAGTGTATGAATTTTCGAAAAATTTAGCATTGCAATCAGTATACTAATTCGCCATATGAAGAGCATTGCATAATTTGCATGTTGTTTCCAAAAATACAGCTGGATCGTATATGCAGAAGCCCTATTAAACTTTAATCGTTTGGGCAGAACAGATTGTAGTAGATTTTAGGGCAGGTTAACTAAGTCAACTTATTTACCACTAAGTCATTCTATAAGTTTAATTAGTTCCCTCGATATTATAAACAGAAGAATGAGACTGGATTACAAGATTGCACTCTCTATTAATCAATAAAATTTGCAAACTTCATCTCAATCAAATGCATAAGGTTAATCCAGAATTACAATTATACTCAAGCATTTTGTTTCATTCGGATACTAGCCTGTTATGAATCAACGCATAATATTAATGTACACATTCATTATGAGGTTACATTTGAAGATGCACACCTTAAGAATATAAATATGCATATAGTACTTGAAATACCAATATATATATTGCAGCACAAGAATAACAACAGTTACAGAGACTAACATCCCATGAAACTTACATACTACTGGCATAAAACATATGATGCAATAAGATAACAAGTGTTCCTGGCGTTTCATGTTTATGTGTATAAGCACCTGATAAGTAGGATCAAAATACAAAAAGAAAAGTAAGGCTGGCAGTCTTCTTCAGCCTAATCGGAAGTGCTTAACAAAAAAATGGTTACATTTCCAGTATCATTTCGAAAACAGTTAAATTATTATAGATTCCTCAAGAAATCAATTATACGTCTTCCGTTGTTTAGATCAGAATTAGAATTTTCATCACTATTTGAACGGCAACTAACTGTGGATACTTAAAGTGTACTTGATATAGCTACTTCTCTATCAAATAATTCGCTTGATGCTGAGCAACTTTGCAAGGTTTAATCTAAGTATTAGGTATCAAAAGTGATTAAGATGCATAATATATAAAATCATGTATCTATAATCATGATTGAGGAATTGGCAGAGGTTTACTGTTTAGTATTTGGACGGAGAAGTTACAAACGATATGACTTAAGGATTGATGAAAGACGTGGATTAAAATTGGTTTAAGCCCTAGTCTAAAATTGTTCAAAAACACCGTTGAGTGAACGAAGGAGTCCTTGTAGAGAAGTTAGCATGGCTCCCACTATATACCTCGAAGTGTCTCAGAAATGGCGCGATAGATTATTCACGATCCTGTATCAAAAGTCTTTTCATTTAATTAAATTTATTTCATATTAGTATTTTTAAATGACCTAAATCAATAAGGACTATTTGTGTCTTTATAAAACTGAATTTGAGCTACTACATCATTAACTATTGCAATCACAATTTAAGCAGCTCAATTAAAAACTGACAATCTTTGCAATTATTTGTGTCACAGTAGTAATACCTATTTTATACATCTATACTTGGACAGAAACTCCGGTTGCTATTTTTAACCTTAACCATAAGTAAGTAAGACTGTAAGAAAAATAAGTAATTATTGCATAAAGTGAAATTACGGAAGACGTTTAAAAGTCTAAACTGTATTATCTGCAACAAAAGCTTAAAAAAATTTGAGAGATTATGGAATCATATCATTCGTTACTACAGACTCTACACTATTTAGTGTAAATGATAGTATGCGATAATGTAAGTTGTTATTGTATAGGCGATTGAGGAATAATAGCTTATGTTAAGAAGATTCCTAACTATTTAATATGCATAATCTTAAAGTTTCTTTACATCATGCTCCAGATTACTAAATTAACACCCCGTTCAAGTATTGAATTTGTTATTAAGTGTCAATGAGCTGAGATGAAAATTAACCAAAATCAATTCAATATCTTCTGATGAAATGCTTCTCTTGTAAAAATGGTGTACTTTTTCTAAAAGCCGATGCTATTAATTCAGAATTAAAAAAAATAAACTACCTCCTGTAAGAGTTTAAGTTTTCAAACCAAACTTCCTATTCCTCCTAATGAATTAGAAAAACCTTCTTGATAAATTTAGCATATTGCTTTATAAAAAGTCTTTCATGCAAATTATTTAGTTCCAAAATAATAGGAGTACAATAAGTACAATCATTTATTCGATAACACATGTGGAGTCTTAATAATACATTTGTTAGAAACGTTAACATTTAATATAGTATTGGTGTTCTACACACATTAAGTACTCGTATAAGGCTATAATTCTAGTTGTAGCAATATTATTGAATGTTTGCATGATGCATATACTGAGAACATCTTTCAATTAGATGCAACGGTGCTATCGATTAGTCACTATCAACAGGATTCTTTTATGTCTCATAAAAATATTTACAATCATAAGATTCTTTAAATAATTTCTTCACAATATATAATCAAATAATGGAGTTGCAAAATTAAGGAGATATAGATGGTGTTAGGATATGTGGAAGTAAGGCACAAGTCATATTTATCTTTTATTACGGCATTACAAAGGTGTAATATGTTAAGGATAGCTGGGATTGTTATTATTTAAAAACATTATGATAAAAGAAGCGCGCACGTAGCCGGACAATTAATGCCATGCCTTATAACCAGAGTGATTTGGTAACAAGCGAGGTTTTCAATTTATAAAAAGATGGTTTAAAGGCTGCTTATCACACTTTTAATTTTCTTACTACCAAACACTTACTACTTACACCTGTTACTAAAGATATCTCATGTTTGACAATATTAATTGTATGAGCACTATTATTTGAACAAACAGTGCAAAAGTATTATTTATTGTTGATATGTATTAACTAAGTTTGTTGGAATCCTAATCAACAATAATAATAGTGTCGTTATCTACTGCATTTTGTTGAAGAAATCTTGTTAGTACTTAAATGTTAAACAATTTTTCGGCAGTTACTTGGAAAGTGTTAGTAAGACTACCATTTGTCAATAAAGATTCATGAAATTATGTTATAGAAAAGAATTAGAGTAAAAGTATCTTGGGCCACATTAAATAAAACTATAATAATAGCAGTTGGAACAATGCAGTAAAGAATAATCCTGGACAATTCAAATATTAAGCATCCAAAGAAACACAAACATTTTCAAAAGTTGCCCCTTGGGTGAATTGTTCAAGCAAAGAGATAAATTGGTTATTACGATATCATCATAGGTGTCTATTGATCAATTAGCTATCCAAAGAATATTTTTAATTGAAAATTAATTGGAGCGTAAAAATTCAGAAATACATAAAGTTGAAAGTATTGTTGTCAGAATTCTTTTATGATATTTGAATTGGAAAATTGGAGACAACCTTTTCGTATTTGATCAAATTAACCAAATTTGTTGAAGAGATGATCTTAAGAACATTATATAAGCTTTGAAAATGAATTTTATATGGCTTTTATAAATTTTCTTTATTTATTAATTAATGTGATCTTTATATTTTAGTTTGCACTCAATTGATTTATTAAATAAAAGTGGATAGTGAGTGCAATCAAACCTTCTCAAGGAATTAGAAAATTTTTTCTTTACAAAAAATCATACACCATACCTGTTGTGATTGCTTTTTGGAAGTGCTTGAAAGAGATTGTATAATCAAATGTTAACCCAAGGAGAATGTTTAAGGAGAATGTTTAAGAATGTCCAGAAAAACAGAATTTTGGCTAATAACAACTAAAATTAAAAGTAGGCTTTTTATCTTATATCACAACATTCTTCTATCCAATTATTTTGAGATATTATAAAAATAAAATCAATGAAAATAATATTCTACTTTGCATGTTTTACAATTGCATTCGCCTAAGACTTTAAAACCATTTTCACTGCCTTTGTAGGCTCTAATTGGAATGATTAGGGTAACTCATTTATTAAAATTAGAATGGTTTTATTCTGATATATATGGGGGAATATTTGGTTTTTGTGAAAATGAATAATTATTTGGTGGCCATTATGTATTTGGGAAAAATTCCTTAGCTTCTCGACAATTTATTCTTCCCCCTCATTATTATGTAAAAATTTAATTAAGATTCTGGAAGTATTAAAATAATTAATATTTAGAATTGATAGTTGGGATGGAGAAGTCTTCTAATTAATAGCTGATTAGAAAGTTTATAGTAGGCAATTTTGGCCAAATGAGGGAGGAGATTTTTGTGGTCGTGGAAAGAAAGGAAATAATGATCTTCTAGTTAATATTGAGGTAAGTATTGAACATAATTCCCAATTGTTTGCTTTAATAATGACTTCAAATTTGGATGAACATGCATATTATGTATAAGTTGTTTTTAGATAATAGGAATCATGGGGGATAAACTGGTTTGAATTATCAATTTTAGAATGTTTTTTAGGTTGCTTAAGTTGTGAAGATTCAACCTCTTCCTGCCTAATATGGAGTAGCTTAGCATCATATTGGCAAACTTAAATGAGCGATGATGGATGGCTAACTAATGGAGGTTAGATAGGAGGATCTAATATTTGCGGCGGTCTTTTAATTGTTGGAGGAACTTCTATATTAATGCAAGGCTAAAGTTTAGAAAAAACGTTAAAAGATCTACCTATCCACTATTTGATTAAGTTTGTATTTAAAATATGGGCGATAGGTGAGTGGGAATACGAGAAATTAGAGCTTTAAGTTGATAATCAAGTTTGGATGTCTGAGTCAATTCAAAATAATAATCCTGTTCCCTTTGATTGTGGTATCAAGTAAAAAGTTAGCATTGTAAATACTCATACAATAAATAACCATACTTAAAATGAAATGAATATAGTTATTAAGTCAAATTAATCCTCATAGAAACCTGCATTTTGGGTGATCTAATCTTTAGACATTTATATAGCAGAATGCTCTATTGGTTGTCAAGAATGCTTTGGAACAGAACCAACCATGTGTACCAAATGTATCAAAAAATGGGGTTTTTATTAAAATCAATGTATTATTGGTATTTATTTAATTTTAAGTTAGCTCCTCCAATTGAGTGTGCTAATGTTAGAATTGTTTAATTTAAAGATTAAAATATCAATAATCCTGACACATTTCAAATAACTATTGATGAAGTGAATCAAAATAGTATAGATAAGGGGTAGCAAAAATTATTTGTGAGTTCTTCTATTTCCACTCTTACATTTAAATTTTGGTGAGATTTTAAGAAGACTATAAAATTGAAAGTTTTTTTAGGAATTGTAGTTAATGTAAGGCTGACTAATTTCAATTTTTAAATAAGGCTTCTAATGGAAACAACGCTTTAATATATAATGCATAGTTTATGCAAGTTATAGCATCAGAAAAAGAATTAATAATTAGAGTTTCAAAAACAAAATTAGAAATCGTTTAATTATAATTAGTAAATGAAATAGATTAAGAAGAAGTTTTAATAATGAAAATTAACATCTAATAGGGATGAAAGATGTGAGATTTATTATGATTTCTAACTATCATAATTGAATTTATATTAAGAAGTAAAATTTATTGGTTCATAAATTGTTAGATTATCATAAAATTTCTGCTTCAAAAATTTTAAATATTAGTTTAATTTAATTTAGCATAGTATTCATTCAATTATTTAATTTTATGTTTTCTGAATTAAATAATTTCATTAAATTACTTCTTAAATATTTCCTGTCAATATTATTTAATTTAGTAGCATGCAAAATTTAAGCGAATTTCAAATACATTAGGTGTTATAATAACAATTATAAATCGAGCCAAATTTGAAATAACTATTTAAAAAGTTCAAAAAAATAATTCATTATTATTCTTTATTTCTTCTTAATTAAATCATTAAATCTTTAGACATCTTCACTTCATCTCTCTATCTCATTTTAATATTCCCTTTCATATTTTGAAATTTTTTCAGAAAGGTTGGAGATTAAATTCTATCCTAAAATCCACCTAGAACAAAATGAAAAACAAAATTAAAAAATAACTCTAAAAACAATATTATATTCTCAACAGATAAATACTGATTTTTTGTATTGAGGCATTTCTCAGCAATACATTTAACCTAAATAATGAAATTTTTTCTTTATTTAATTTAGTTTATCTTTTAGTTATCAAATAAGCTCAACAATTACATGAATTAGGGGACAATATTTTAATGATATATTGAAGCAGCTACTTTCAAATCTTCTAAAATTTATTATTACCAAGTTTTATTAAGTTCTACCAATGTTTAAACGAAAAGAATGTAACAAAAAATACTAAAATAAAAGAAATTAAAAAATCCAAGTTTAAACTGTCAGCATATGAGAATATATCAATAAGTTAGTAAGTTATCTTCTAACTTCTGTACAGCTACATATTATTATTTTTCTCTAACTTGGCCAATTAATCTTCAGTAATTATTCCTAATAATGGTAAAGTATGCATAATGCAAAGGGATTTAATAATTATTAATTTTGCCAAATTATCAAAGTAATCATCAGTAAGGCCAGCATAATATCTTAATAATGCTCCTAATCTTAATATATGATTCCTGAAAAATTAATGACTGAAATCAATAGGGCTTAAATCGTTCCTTTAATAGTTTTAGGGCACATTTTACGAGTTAATACTAAAACTCTCATAGTGATTAAATAAAACATATTTTTATAAGAGAGTCTTTATTCTCCAATAAATACTGGCCAAACTATAAAATTTAGTAGTCGAAATTGATAGAGATGACATGATAATCATGATTAGCAAAATGGGTCTAATTTTTAATTGATATAAAAAATGATTGTAATGAAAAAACTTTTTTTTGAATGATGTTTCCTTTCGTTTATGAATATTGCAATGCAACGAAAATTAAAGGAAAGATAGAAGTTATTTTTAAAATATCTAGCTTTTCTTACACCTATAATAAATTACCAGAAGAATATGCTTATATTAGAAATCTTACTGATTTCATCCCAAAGAAGAATGTAAAATTTTAACTTGCTTTATCATTTTACTGTCTTTCATCATCTGAATGAACAAGATATTCAAGCAATTATGCTTTACCTATTACATTACAAAATGCAGCACATATATTAATCACTGCCAATAAAATTAATCCAACTTCTCTATGTTCTAGCCCATAATAGGATAGCAACTTCCAATATATAAATCAGAGCAAACAAAAAAAAATTAAATATGATTTTCTCCTAGTCACTAAACTTCAGTAAAGAGTTTAAGGCAGGATCTTATTTATAATCTTCTTTTTTTGCATGAGCTTATTGCTAAATATATCAATACATTATCCCTATTGAATCTATATATTATTACCTTACGAAAAAGCAATTGTACCAATTAAGAAATATCTCAACAGAAGTGATTATTCAACTTCTTCAACTTTCATCATTTTAAATTTAATGATAGCGCGCATCAATGTATTTTGATTAATCAATTATTTCTTTAGGTATATTTTATTTTATAAATAATTAAATAAATAAATAAAATAAATCGAATAATCTAGAATTTAACATGAAGATGAAATTCTTTGTTTTTCTTTATCTATTTCAATAATTAAAATAATGTCCACAGCATAATAATTTAAAGACCTTGGTAATTAAGCTTTCAAAGAAAACAAATTTGAAGATGCTGCTAAGTTTTATTCATAAGCAATCGAATTAAATCCAAACGATCATATCCTCTACAGTAATAGATCAGGAGCCTATGCTTCACTGTCTAAATATGAAGATGCATTAGCAGATGCTGAAAAATGCATTTCTTTGAATTCAAATTTCGCAAAAGGTTCTTAATGATTTCTAGATTAGGTTACCAAAGAAAAGGTTTGGCATTACATTACCTTGGAGAATTTGAAAAAGCTATAGATGCATATTAATAGGGCTTAGCCAAAGATCCAAATAATGCATTACTTTCAGAAGGGTTAAAAGCTGCCTAAACAGAATTATAGGGTACAAAGAACAATCCATTTGCTTCTGCATTGAAAAATCCTAACATATTAAAACTTCTGGGTATTCTCTAGAAAGATCCAAGAACATCTGCTTTCGCTTCAGATCCAACATTTATGTAATTAATAGGTTTAATGATTGCTTAACCATAAATGGCAAGCTAATTTATGTAAACTGATCCAAGAATCTAAGCTGCTTTGTCTGTAATAATGGAAAACCCTGAAGCCTAATAGATTTTCTTTTCCGAATTTGCTGGAAAAATGAAAAAGACAGATGGAGAGAAAAAGGATCATCCTCATTAATAATCATAGAAAATGGAAGAGGAGCACACTCAAGCATAACATGAATAAGAGCAGGAATAACATCATCATGCTCATTCAGAATAAAGTTAATAAAAATAACATCAATAACCACCTCCAAAACCATAACCTTAACTAGAAGAATGGGAAGTATAAAAAAACTTGGGTAATGAGGAATATAAGAATAAAAATTTTGAAAATGCTCTTTAATATTATGATGCCGCACTTTAACTAAATAAGGAGGAAGCCTTGTTGTATAATAATAAAGCAGCTGCCTTTATTGAATAAACTAAATATGATGAAGCATTAGAAGCTATAGAAGAAGGACTCAAAGTGTTGGAAGTCCATAGCAGTTTCTAAAAAAAGGCTAAATTGTTGGCAAGAAAGGCCAAAATTTATTCTCTTTAAAATAAATTCAATGAGGCTATTCAGTTCTATGAAAAATCATTGGTTGAAGATCACGTTTAATCAGTAAAGGATGAGTTAAAAAAGTTGTAAAAGTTATAAAAGGATCTTGAGGCTTAAAATTATATTAACCCTTAATTAGGTGAAGAGGCAAATACTAAAGGAGGTGATGCTTTTAAAGCAGGAAAATTCCCAGATGCCATTCAATTCTATAATGATGCAGTTAAGAGAAATCCAAAGGAACCTAAATATTATTGCAATAGAGCAACAGCATATATGAAATTAATGGAATTCCCAAATGCAGTTTCTGATTTAGAAAAATGCTTATCACTAGATCCTAAGTATGTAAAGGCATATGTGAAAAAGGCCAATTGTCACTTTGTAATGAAAGAATTCCATAAGGCTAAAACAGTTTACGAAAAGGGATTAGAACTTGATCCTAATAATTTGGAGATGCAACAAGGGCTTGAAAAAGTGAAATTTTCAATCTTGTAAGGAAGTGGATCAGAAGAGGAATAATAATAAAGAGCAAAGAGAGCTATGTAAGACCCAGAAATTCAATAGATACTTCGAGAACCAGAGGTATTATAATTATGTAAATATTTAGGTAATTAATCTTTTGAATGATATGAAAGAGCATCCTTAAGATGGATTGAAGGCTATTAAACAGAATCCTTCATTAGCAGCCAAGATTGAGAAGTTAATTGAGGCTGGAGTTCTAAAAACAGGCTGAAATTTCTATATATAAAAGTATTGTTATATGATATTGATATTTTATAATTTCTATTTATCAGCAGTAAAGTTGATAATGTGGAGTTAACATAGGATTGAAGTTGATTAATTCTTTTACCTTGACTCCTTTCTTGTTCATTTGGTCTCCATCTGAAATAATCAAGCCTAACATTAAAATTACAAATTAAGTTTTGCTCATTTCTATAGCTAAGGATAATGAATACTTTTGGACGATTTATTCCAAAACAAAAATTTCTTTATTTTCTAAGAGATCAAGATTAATCATATTTAATTTTAATGTTTTTCTGTACTCTTAAGTGCTTAATAGTCTCTTGTATAATTAAATGCAAACTGGATAAACACTGGCTTCTATTGTAATGTTTTCAATTTGTTTATATATGGATTTAATTAAATTATTAAGTTTCACAATGCTGTTAATTACAGAGTTATTGTAATTATCTTACTATTATTCACTTGTTTCTATCAAATAAAAATTTTCCTTTTTTTAATGGATTACATTGGGGGTTTGATAAATTTTGCAACCTTACTCTAATTGCTTATCTTCAAATTGATTGTTTTATAAATGAACAAACAAGGTAGTCTTTGAATTTTTATGAGGAGACATTTTAGGTGTAAGAGTTTTAGTAGCCGGACTAATGTTTCTATTGGATTTCTGAATATAGTTTTTTTTATCCCATTTTTATCGTTAGGAGACTGGAGAGGTCGTAGATTTAAGTGGTGGTACAGCAATTGTTTCATATTTTTCCACATTAGCATATTCATTGTAAATTAGATTAAAAATTTGATCTTAATGTTTTTGTAAATTATTCTTGCTGCAAAATTCTTACACTTTCTTCCATAAATTATCTCCTTTATTCAATATAAATTAGAGTGATTAGTTGTTGATTTACAAATCAATTGTTGTTAGCATAATTAATAATAATAAGTTTATAAAACATAAATATTATTATATAACTTAAGAGTTTACAACACTTTTATCCTCCATATAAGACTATAATCGACTCTCAAAAATTTATTATAAAAGAAAGCACTTCCCATCTTCTGATTTTTATAAATTAATGGGATAGTTTAAAATAATTTTAGAATTAAATGTTATTTTATTACAAAGAGAACTTTGAACATAATACTCTATTGAAGCTGATTTCATTGAATAAATATTGTAGAACATAGTTTTTTATGTTATTAAACTATTTCACACAATGATGATTAATATTCCTCAGTAAATCAACCTATATCATCTCATAATTTATCAGTATTAATTAGTTTCAGGTATATATGAAATTAAGTATTAGATTAAATATTCTAAAACAGGAAATTAAATGCTGGTACAAGAATTCCAAATCAAAACGATTGATCATTATTAATAATAATATTAATTAATCAAATATTATAAAATTTTACAATTTTGAATTGACTATATTATAATAAATGTTCATATTATTATTATTCCTAAAATTATATTTGAAAGAACAAATCTGAACTAGGGCGTGTATATATATAAATTTATTTCATTTTAGTATATAAATGGACTGAACAATAATAATAAAGTGAAATATTTAATTTAAAAAATTATGATTTCGTTGCTTTTAGATAAAAAGGAGCATTTTAGGAAAGAAATTCGTCGACAAAAAAATGAAACGATATTTAAATAAAAGCGTGCGTTATACTAGCAGCCTTACAATCAAATGAGCTCTTAAGTCATATTAAATAAAATTCAAAAGTTTGAATATTGTGATGAATTATTTAAGCAAATAGCAGACATGGATAATCCACCTAAAATAATCAAGGATTTGGTTTAATTTTTAAGCCAAACCCAATCTTTGGAGACCATAAAGGAAGGATTAAGGTGCTTAAATAATTAATTGTATTATTTTGATGACTTCGACAATTAAGAAAATGAAATCTTTTTATTACTTTAAAAATACTTTTAGAATGATGATTATATATTAAGAAAGAGAACTTTAATGTGTTTGGGAAACTTATTATATAATTGTCATCAATTCATCATTCCAGCGCAAAATATATTTTTTAAAGAAGAATTATTACATGAATATTCTGAAGAGTACTCATTTGTTACAAACTTCTTAACTTAATTTGGTAATTATTCAGACATAATAAAATCAATTTAATTTTTATCAGAAATAATAATGATTAACCCTAACGACATGGCCTTTGAATCAGTGAAATCTATTTTTGAAAATTGCACTCCTTTAGATGCTGATGAATTGATCGAACAGAATTTTATTTTACCTTCATCAAGATTATTAATTCATGCTAAAGAAAACAAGATTGCTTATGAAGCATTACTTGCCATTTTAAATAAAGCAAATGATTCTACCAAAATTGGTTATTATTAAAGGGGTCTTAATTAGCTTATAACTTATTTTCTCGATCATCCATTAAAGAAAGAATAGGGATTTTAGTTAATGCTGTATTTTGTTTCAAAGTTTGATGATAGTGAAGAAAATTTGGTTATTGATTCTTTATTTTCAATTTTTGAAGGAACAAAAAAGCTACACTAACTTTTGATGTAAGATTGTAATCCTATGAAACTTCTAATTATTTGCAATTCAATAGAAAATGGAAGCATGGCTATTTTTAAAGAGTTTTTAGATTTAAATATTATTAGCAATATATTTATTCCTTATTTAAGTTTTTCGGATGACCATTCTTCTATCTAAATAATAATTTCTGCTATTGATTCTTTGTTATAAAGAGATGAAATGTCAGGGGAAAAATTTTAGTATGTGAAAAAGGCCTTTAATAATGAATAATTTAGGGCTGCTCTTGAAAGAAACATATATAATGTTGGAGATCGAGTAGAGACGAATTCCAAGATAGACAGTATATTGAATATATTAAATGATTTTTAATGATTGTTATTTTATCTTAAAATTAAATTAAAGGGACCCTGTCCTTTAACAACTTATCTTCATTTTACTAAGTAGATTTATACAATATTTTTCTATTGGTTTAATTTGATTGCATTTAATTCAAATAATGTTCTTTAATCAAATTAACCTTGCTATCAACTTCAAATGAGTAGTTTATAATAATGCTATGCTATGCAATTAATTTAGCTATGATTTTGAATTGAAAAAGGCAATTCTTAATCTTTTGTAGGTTGTTAAGAAAAATAAATGAGAATTTCTCATAAATTTCGTATGCGATTTCTTTCATTTCACTATCTTTATTTGGAAATTATAAAAGATTTTGATAATATCTATTTTCATATTTAGTAAAGTCGAATGAATCAATTTAACACTTTGCATTTATCAAATAGAATTCCAATATGTATGAGATAAAAAAGTTATTTTTTTCATTTTAATTAATATTGTTTTATAATAAATTCAAATAATCAATCAAGAAGAATATCTGGGCAAAGTTCTCTAATAACCATATCACTGATTTTTATTTCCATTCCTTCTGCAACTCCGTCCTCTAGTGTCACTTCATCATAATTTACTATTTTTCCTCTAAAATAATCGGCAAATTTTTCCAATCTCTTGGAATCAGCCTTAATTAATCTGTAGTGAATTTATCTCATGTTGATTCGATGAATAATTTAATCAGGTTTTAATCCACATGGACAACCTGTTTCATCCCATAGTTCACTATACCCACCAAATTCTTTTCCATGTGGTGGCTAATCACAAATGTGAAAGATATATCTCAAACTTGGAATTTTGCTGCTATCCCTCCAACTTATTTATTAAGCTGCTACATTTAGTCCATCTAAGGCTGCTTCAGCACCATCACCACCTCCGTAACAATCTGAACTTTCAATAGCTTTTAAAATCTGCTTATCAGAACATAAATCATGCAACTCTGTAAGATAAGTGACTTCTTAAGGAGGATGATCACGATAACACACCAATCCAAATCTCACGCTTACTTATTCGTTTTTTGATTATTTTTTTATTCTTTCTACTAACATTTAAACAGTGTGTGTTGTTCTTTCCAAATATATATCCATCGATCCTGTAGTGTCTACAACAAAAACACAGTCAACCATTCCAATTGAAGTTTGATTGGCGTCAGAAGCTACTGATATATTTGATTTAGTCTTTCTAGGTCCTTGTTTAACTTATTATTATTGTTAGGACTAAACAATATTTTTTTCTGCAACTTTTGAACTTTTTTCTGTATCTTTAATTTCTGTTTTCTTCTCAACTTTCTTAGGCACTTGTTTTTAATTTTTCTTCTCTATTTCCATTTCTGTATTGTTCTTTTTTACAGGTTAAGCTTATTTTTATTTGTTTTACTCAACAGGATTGTTTTTTTGAACCTTTTAAGGCTAAATAGGTATTTTCTTTTCAATTTTTCTTGAAGGGTTAGATATTGATATTTATGATTATGTTTTAAGATCCTCTTTTGATTTGTTTTATTATTTTTATTGCTTTTCTCTTTTTACTTTAACCTACTTTTACTAAACAATTTTTTTAGGGGATTCCTTTTGTTTCTTTTAAACCTGTGCTACTCTTTAAGCCCTTTATCTTTATTACACATTTCTATTTCTCTATCTTGTTCTATCCACTTATTCCATTCTTTGCAAATAATCATTTCCTTCTTTAATTGTTCTCTCCATTGATTTAGATCTTTTCACCATTTAATATTATAAATAAAATATAAATAAATTTTATCTAATACTTCTTTGAATTTATAGCTGGTTAAGAAACAAATTTTAATAAACCATTTGTCAATATAATTATAATCAGATTTATATCAGATTATTATTTGAGACTTCTTGTTATTACAACATTTATACCTATTTAAATTGTCATTTATTCAAGTGATATTGATAATTATTTTTAATTATGAAAACACATCTTTTTTGTTAATCAAGTGTTAGAAAATATCCTAGATAACATAGAAAGTATCCTCAATTTCATTTTTTATAATTTCTAATTTAAACTCAATTAAAATATATACAAATGATATAAAAAATTAAAATCAAAAATGAAAGATGTTTTATAAATAATTTATATTACATCTTTTATTAGGATCCATTTCAAATACATTCTATATTATTTCCTTATATTACTAAGGAATTCTTTTGTTTTTCCAAAAATCTTTCCAATTACTTTTTGTTATTTATATCCATTTCTAACAGTTATTTTAATTATTATAAGGGAATTCATTTGTTAAAAGCTAATACAATATTACTCCCATCGCAAATACTTCTGTTTTTTCATTAAGAAAATTAGCACCGTCTAAAAAGAATTCTGGTGCGAAGTAACCTCTTGATCCTCTTCTGCTTTTAATCTTTTATTATATTTAATTTGCAAATCCTAAGTCACATATTTTGATTTATAATGTAGAGGAATCCACTAATACGTTGGCAGTCTTTAGGTCGCAGTGGTAATAGCCAGATTATAAAATGTCATAATATCCTTCAATAATTTGAGTAAAAATATAGTTAACGTGATATTATTCTAGTTTAAAATGTTGAAGGTATTATTGCAGATTATAGTCACCAAATTTTTCATATAATATCCATTCAAATTTTTCTTCGTCATGACTAAAATGTTAAACAAATAATATTACCAAACATAAACTATAATATATTTACTCTTGATTTTTTGGCTGGCTTAAATTTCTCCAATTCTTTCATCTTAAGTTGTGGTCTCTTTAAATATTTTGATAGCATAATACAAGTCTTTATAAGGCAATTCATAAATCTAATATTTTTTCATTTATACATCTGCTTAAAGTCCTTCATCAATCTTTGTTAAACTTTGTTTGTTTTTTAGTTACATTTTGACACTCTCTAGTAATTTTGAATCTTTCATCAAGTTGTTTAAAAAAAAAATTTTATTAAATGAATCTTTTTCATTTAAAAACTTATCGAATTTATGAATGAATTAACATAACACTAATTTTTTATCTTTTAATTTCTAAGATGTCGACTAAATATCTACCCTTTCTGAAAATGAATTTAAACCTTGAGTATTTTTACATAAATCAAGGATTCTAACAGATAATTGGTGCTCATAAAAGAAGTTGAGAAATACAATTCAATAAAAATTTTGATTAGAATTGTATTATAAAAAATATATATATTTTAATTTGAAATCAGATGAGTGTTAATGATAATGGCTAAGAATGCAATACTTTGGATGAATAGCATAAATAATAAATGATGTAATTAGAAACAATGGGGATGATGTGTAAATATCAAATGATTTTCACTAAAATGGATGCGGCATTATTGAAAATAGCATCAATATTGAGATAAAAGTAAATTATCAAATATAAACACAGATAAAATAACGACAAGTCATATGCTTTATTTCAAATTAAGGATAGATCAGTCGGTCAAAAGTAATTAATAATGGTCAATGCATTATCAATAGCTTAAAGAATGAAGTTAAAGTTAAATGGATTATTTAATTTTTGTGAAAAACATGCTTAAGAGAATTAATTTGTAGGTATTTGCAGTATTAGTAATTCAAGCATTTCATAAAATGGTAATTCTGTCAAAAGCTAAAAATCAAGAACAGAGACTCAAGGAAGAAAACGAAAAATAGAAGAAGGAATTTTTATTCAAATTGAATTAAAAGGATGAAGACATCGATAGGTAAAGAAAAAAGAATGAAGAATTAGAGGGAATTTTATATTAATAAAAGCAAAGGGAGAGTGATTGCACAATCAAATTATAATAAAAAATGAAATTGATTCAAAGATATGAAACTGATCTTTTAGAATTAAAGAGATAACCTTCTTCAACTAAGAATTCTAATTAAGAAAATAGAGTAATCTTATTTATTATTAATTTAAGTTGAAAGAATTAGAAAATAACAATGCCATACTAAGCTTATAAATATAATAAAATTCTTAATCTTTAATAAATTTTGTAAAGGAGATGAATGAATTATTGGACAGTCATTCTTTTATATTGAATGAGAAGAACATTAGCAGCTTTCGTGCAAAATATAAATGAATTTTTATTTATTTTGTATCGATAATTTACAGCTTGGATACTCAACTAATTTGTTCATCTAACTCAGTATGTTATAAAAACTCATGAAACATTACTTAATTTTTATCTATCAACTCTGCAAACTAATGCTCCAATCTCATAGAATTCAATCCTAATTCCATAGGATAAGTTTCTAATTTGAGCATTCTGTTAATTAATTTATCATTGCATTAAATAAATCTGCCTTTTCTATTACTTATATAATGAGTAAACGATTTGACCATTTACAATTTTTCATTCGATGGCAGATGATTATTAATGTTTACTGTTAGAAACCCAGTTTTGAAATCAACTTGCACTAAAAATTATTGTTACTGCTATTTCAATTGTAATTCTTTTAGTTGCAGTAGGCAGGATAATAATTGCTAAGAAGAAAGCTGATATTTTAATTGTAGAGTCATTTCTTCATTTAAATTATTATTGTTATTAATATTGTTGTTGGTCTATTTATTATTATTCTGATTCCACAATTATCGTGTCACATATTTATCAACTACATTATCTAGAGTTTACTTCAAATCTGGAAGGTTTTAGGTTCCTTATTAGATTATTTTATATTAATTCGAATAGCAATCATATAGAAATTAGATCTAATCAATTTATTTAAATTTATACTTTTTATCTTTGTTATTAAGATAATTTAATTAATGAATCGAATAGATAGTACAAATTAGTTTTGCTAATAAATTTTTTGTCTAAATTAATCTCTTATTTAATAGGTAATTCCAAAGATTCAGTTTTTAAAGAAACTTCATATACAATTCCAAATCTATGTTATTACCCAATAAATAATTAATTGATGATAGGCGAAGCTGTGGGAGTTTCAGTTTGAAGTTAATGAGAGGTTGGTGAAATAGCAACTAACCCAGTAACAACTTAGTTTAGATTATCATATTCCACTGAATCCAAGGGAGTAGAATTGTCACTTAAAATTGTAAATAATCTTTGTTAACCTGCTAATGGGATTCTTCTTCCATATTAGGCCAAAAATTAATTCACATCTTAAACTCTATTTCCTACTCCTACTTTAACAATTTGAGTTTACTAATCATATTCTTTATGCTGAACCTTCCTAAGATTAATGATTAAAAAAGGGAATTTACAATATGTAAGCCTCTTGATCTCCTTTTAAGATAAGTTAAGATTATTTTAAAGCTATTGTTTATAGTCTTCAATACTATCAACATCCATTGTAGTAACTTTAAATCCATATTTAGCTGCTTTTTATACTATTTTTTTGATAGCTTCCACTTTTTAAACATAAATGATTGCTGTAGGTGTCGAAAACTTTTACGCAACATATTGTTTCATGTTACCAAAATGAAGGTGCATTCCATCACTTCTAGCGACAACATTGCCAATAATCTAATCGTCGAACTGCTCTGTTCCATCATCTTTCTTAAAATAGGTTCTTGCTAATTTTCTGATGAATCTGAGTCTCCGAAAGTAGGTCTCTTCAAAATACTAATTCACAAAATATGAGGTTGACAAAGCACCACATATAAGAGATATTCGAACGTATAAATTTTTCATTAAATTTATGAATTTTTTTAATCTATCCCTCTAAGCAATGCCTTAATAAAATAATTTTAGAATTCCCATAGATTCATAAAATCATTAACTTTAAGTCTAATTGAAGAAGATCTATTGTGCTCGAATGAATTTGAAATTAAGGATTTCTATATTGTGTTCAAAAATTTGGAAACAATTATGCTCATATATTGAATCAAATACATTATTATCTAAATGGAAGAAATCAGAATGATTCTAAAGGATTAAAAGAAATAAGAAATCAGATAATCATGAATATATCAATTAATACACCTCTAAAAAGATTATCATCAATTGAAGAAATTAATTTCATTATGAGGATCTTTGTAAATCACCTAACTTTAATCAACCCTTTTCATAATATATAGAGTTGCAATATTTAGAAAAATAAATGGATTGTAAACTGAGAGACTGTAAATTAATTAATGAGCATAAAATTTCACTTATAAATTATAAAAAATGCTTTTTAAGAATGAATAACAATAATCAATCGCTAAGTGTATAAAACAATATAATTTATAAAAAGATGAATAACCAAATGTGATTGGATTAAAATAAATGAATAATAAATTAAAAATATCTATTTAATTAAATATATTTGAGTCTATAGAGACAATTATCTCTTAATACTGATGTATTATGAGAAATTTACTCAAAAAATACAAATTAGATTATTTTTTCAATCATTAGATTTCTATTATTTTAACTTTAATTCTTATTTTTATTCATTACTTTTTACAGACATAATCTCATTAAAAGAAAAGATTGGGAACTTATGAAAAATAAATAAATGGGCTAAGAAAATAATTGATGTATACTTTTGCAATTTTGTTAATAGTCTTCTATTAAGGTTTTATAACATAAATTAAATATTTAAGATTTTCGCAATTTATTAATTCCAGAATAACTAAGTTTTATTTTATCTTTTTCAGTATACATTTTTATTACAATCTCCGTTTAAGGATTTGCATTTTTCATCAGTTCAAAGATGAGAAGTAAATGTATCTATTTAGATGTTATCTGTGCCATGTTATCTTAGATTAAAAATGTTATTTGGTAATATTACTACAATTAACTCAGAACTTTTTAATAAAATTAACTGAGATTAATTAATTTATCATTAAATAGTATTTTCTAGCCTTTTAATATTTAATATTAAAAGAGGGATAATTTATATTAAATTATCAAGGATGTATTTTTAGATTTCAAAAATTTCCTTAAAACAGTCTATGACATTGACAATTATTTGAGATGATTGTTTTAGATATGATTCATATAGAACTTATGTTAGAGCTTCTAATTTTTCAAGATAACATCTTCTGACTCTAATATCATAATAAAATTCAATTCTTCAAACTTATTTAATAATATATGTAGCTTTATTTTCTTCTCCTAAAAGATTAGATCAACACAAAATTCAACATCCTTTATGTCCGTCTTATTCTAATACTCTTCGTGGATTTTGTAAAGATACAGTAAAAGACTATTATTGGTTTGTCTAACTGATGATTGATTTATGAACTACTTTGTCTTCTCTTCATTAATGAAATATCCATAAGTTTTATTCGAGGATATTTATTAAAACTACAAAATCTCTATGCGGAACCTCAAAATAACAAAGGGTTTTGTTATAAGCTTCGGGATCAGTGCTTCTTCAAATTATTATTTTTTTTACCCCAATTATCATCTCTAAATTTAAATAAAAATGCTGATCTGTGCAAATATTCAATTTTATATATCAAATAACTATACGCAATAGACACAGCTATCGTAAGTGTGTACTGTTCTGGCAACAACTACCCAGAATTAAAGTAGTTGGTCAGTATTCTTATAATTGTGTACAAAATGTTAACTACAGTTGATGGCACAAAATCTAAGCCGAACCCAATAATTGCATGTACAATTGTAAAATTGCATCCTTTCAAAAATCCGTCATAGGAATCAAACTCAGGTTCCATCTTATACTCTGATAGGATTATGCCAAAATATATTATAATTAATAATTTGCAAGATAGCTTCCTCTTGATTCTGCTTATTAATAAGCCAAGAATAAAGGCTATCAATAATGAAAATGTTTAGTATAAATTATGATACATTTTGCTCTAATACTAATTAACAAGTGTTATTATTACTATAATAATACCTCCAAAGCATAAGGACTACATCAGAGGAAATTATATCGATTCTAATTTTTCTTTTTAAAATTTTTTTTCTAGTTGTAGATCTTAAAAGTTTAATCGTAATTTGTTCATTATATTATTGATTTGGAAATAAGGAAAAAATTAAAGAAAAGATATAATTTTATATTAGGTGTGTTAATGCATAAATATTGAAATGTAAATTTTATTCTTGCTCAATAATTTAGTGCCTTACAATAATTTAGTATTTCACATCAATTTATATACAAATATTTGTTGAATAATAAATGATTATTCTAAATTTGGATAGTAAAGAAATTATGAGTTCATAAAATCATAAATGTAGAAAACAAAGGATATCACTGCTAATAATTTCATAAAATGTTTTCGATTTAATTGCAAAATATTAATATGAAATTTATAAATTTATATTTGAGCTTTTATGCTAACTTAGCAATAAAGATTTTAAACCTTTATTAAAGAATGTGAAATAATGCATTTTAATAAAATTAATTAATGTTCAAATTTCAAAAAATAATCCTTTGAAAATTCTAAGGTACACTAGTGTATGTCATATCTCATCCACTATTTTTAAGTTCCATTCTCGAACCCTTTTAAATCAATATAATTAATCAAATAGAAATCAAGAGAGTGTAAATTCTTTGTAATAAAGAATTTACACTCATTGATTAACAATATTAAATATTTACTAGAATAAATGAAAATACATAATCAATTAATTGAAATCACGAAAAAATTGAGTTGATTTATTTCTAGAAATAAAAGTAGTATAATATTAAATATATTAATTATTATATAGCAAATAAATATAACAGTAATCAGACGATATATTTTCTTTTTTGCATAAAGCATTTTCTTTTTTATAAATTTGATTATAGTTCGCTTTTTTTTTCCAATACTTATTATAGTAAGGACTGTGATCTTCTTTAACGAGGTTTTTCATATTTACTTAATTGTGCAATGTTTTTTTTTTGTATATACCTAGCAATTAAAATAGTAAATACTTATCTTCTGAACATAAAATACTGTATTTTGCAATTATTTCAAATACATTTGATAACTAGTGCAGCTAAGTAGTTTAGGATGACATAGAGCCATTTCTTTTATTCATCATTTACATGGTTTATTATATTTATTAATTACTTTTATAAATATCGAAAAGAACATAATTTGTAAATATTAAACGTAACAAGATAACTAAAACGATTAGAGCTTCTTTAAATACATGTATCTTAACAATTTCAAATTTAATGATGAAATATAATTAGATATTTAATATAATATATAAAATAACAAAATTCAAAACTTATTTTCTAAAAGTAAAACTAAATAAATAATCAAATTTTAACATTTTCATAGAAGATTGAAGTGATTAATTGTAATAATTCATCTTTATCACTTAGTGCTTAAAGATAATATTGATGTAAGCTTTAGACATCTTCGCTTTGACTTTTATCATCTTCTTTTATCTATTCTTCATTTTATAGTTAAAAAATTAGAGAATTCATTTTCTCCATTTATTCATTTTATTTTATTAATTGCTTGCATATTAACAAGAAATTCTCATTTTATTATTTCTTAATTTCCTTTAATTCTTTGTCTTTTTCTTTAGAATATTGGGCAAAAAATCTATAATTCTAAAATTATTATAAAACTTATTACTTCTTACATAGTAAAATTATCAATATGCCTATCTTATGGATATTGATTAACCTTCGTCAAAGAATTTCCTCTCGAATGGAAACCATGCTAAATTGAGTTGACTTATCTTTCCAAATTAGAAATTCTAGTGTTCTTCTCCGCTATTTGTTACTAAAGCTTAGCTATTGTAATTTCATCGGAATTTTTAAAAGATTAATTAATTATGCTTGGTTGATGATCCAATTTAATTAAGGATTAATTAAAGTCAAAACAATTTGACTTTGGTGACACCCAAAATTTTTATTCTATATCTAAAATCTGACTATTATTAGAAGATAATAATCCTTATGTTCTTAGATTTTCTATTTAACTTCTTTTATCTTATTAATTAGAATTTAAATATTCCTCTAATTCTAATTTGTATTTTTCCATCTTCTTTTTATATTAAGTTGATTCCTACTCATATTCGTAAAGTTTTTTTTTTAATTTACCTATATCTTATTCATATTGTGATTTTCTACCCACAAGTTTTTTATTTTCTTCTTTCAAAACTTAGATTTCTTTTTTAAGGAGTTCAACTGTTCTAATTTCAGAATTATCTTTAGAATCTGGTATTTCATAATCTAATGCTCTTTCTGTAGGTTAATTGGATGACAATTGAGACTTTTATTTTTGATTTTTTCTCTTTTTTTTTGATACTTCTTTTTATTGAGTTTCCACTAAATTATTAAGATATTCAATCTATTCCTTATTTTTTTCTTAATCTTTGATAAACTCTTCAAATTTAAGCCAAGCTTCCTCAAAATCATTACAAATGACCTTATCTAAAAAAAAGTTAATTTAGTAAGTCAATTAATCAATAATTTCCTTATATTCCATAATTTTACTTTGCATTTCAATGAATATATTTTGATAATCTGATTTCATTTATTCGATCTATTTATTTTGTTATTGTATTAGATGATCCTTGCTATACAAGTTTTCCTCGAGAGATATAATCACACTAGTGGATTAATACTCCAATTGGCTATAATCTGATAAGCCATTTATTTCCTACAAATCACATTAGATGAAATTTGCAATCTCTAATTGTTGATACTCAGGACATGATGTCATATATGATATAAATTCCTCTTTTTTCACTTGTATAAGTGTTTCAAGAAAATATTAGATGAATTTAGTTAATTCTTCATTATTATCACAGAATGCAATGTCTTCACTAAATTCTTTGATTTATAAGTTATTATTTCTTCTTGTTTTTTGCAAACGATTTATTATTTAGTTCCATAGTAATTTTTTCATATCGGTTTGAAAGCTATGATAAGAATATATTTATTACAATTCATCTTCCAATTATGCAAATAGAATTCCATCCTATAAGTCCCTTAGATGATGAATTTACCTTTTAGGATAATTCAATTTGTTAAGCTAAATATATACAGTAATATTTACTAAGGCTATGACACTTTTCATAAATTAAATAAAAAATTTTATCAATATAAATTGAAGAAATAAAAATGAAAGTGCAATCAATCATTATACTCTTGGTCTTAAAAAGACAGGAGTTCCATTTTTTTAGTTAATTTTCCACCTTAATATTATTTATTACTTTATTTAGCTTCTATCTACATTTATTCGAATTTTTCTTATAAATCGTTCTATTTCAATTTTAAAAATTTAGCTGCTTCCTATTAAGCCTCATTTTAATCGTAATTGACATCTGATAAATTATAATAATCAAAATTCTGATAAGGAGTATTTATACTAGAATCTATTTAGCAAGGTTCATAAATGTCTGGTTTGCATTAACTAGATTTTAATTAATTGTCGAGCTAATCAAATAAACTTAACAATCCTTATTATTTTTCTCTAAATTAATTAGACACTTAGCCATTTACTGGTATGAGTTATTTAGATTAATGATATAATTCCATTAACTCATTTATAGTTCTTTGATCTTTGATATCGAAATAGTCTTCAGAAATCTCAGGAAAACTAGGAACATCATCTGAATAAATATTCTTTCCAAACATCTCAATAATAATTTAAATAAAATAGAAGTTTTTGTTTTAATTATAAAATATATTTCTTAAAATTAGAGTCTTTAAGTAATTTAGCCATTATCAAATTCTGATCTACCATTAAGAAACTGATTACCTTTCCAGGTACTCTCCAAAGGAATTTAAGAGTATAATAGCTTCTCGAAAATTATATTTACAAATTGCAAAATTGAGAAATAAAAATTAGCTATTAACAGGGGATCAATAAAGTAATAAAGCTTGAAGAAAAAGAGAGATTATTAAATAAATTAATTGAATAATACTACTTGGATGATAAGGGATATAAAAATATTTGATAGGAAATATTAATAATCAGTTGTCTAAAAAATAGAAAATAAAGTAGCAGAGATAAAATCAGAAAATACTAGTATAAAAATGTCGCTTTTCCAAGTGTTTATTGAATTGAACATGTAGCATCCGGATATAAAATAATTAAGCGAATGATTAGAACAATTTATTAAAATTTAGAATTTTCAATTTGAATGTGTACAACTTAGTTAAAAACTTTACTTAAGTATATCAATTAAATAGCTGCATCCACTTGATAGAACTTACTACTATGTATTGAAGGGATAATGTAATAAAACAGGATCTATCTGAAATTTTAAAGATTTGTATAACAATTGTTTGATTAAATTGTTCTTAAAGGAAACAAAGATATTATTATACCCAGTGCTAATGATTTCGGTTTTAATTAAGTTTGATAATTGAAATTCCATTAATTATTTATAATTATTAAATTAATGAGTGACTCAATAGACCAATTTAATTAGTAATCCTGCTTTTAAGAGGATAATTTTCAAGGGCCCAATTTAATGATGGTTTCTGAAAGAATTTTATTAGGTGATGGAGATCTCTATTAAAAATCACCAGATAGTAACTCATACACTATTCGTGATCCATCAAAAATATAAGATCTTAGCAAAGAATTGGTCGAAGCTGTTCCAATAGATATGCGCAAATCATAGAAGGGATTGAGAAAGTCAGAATATTAATCAGCTTATGCGATTGAGGAGGAATTGGAAATTAGTGGTAAACCTCAATTTTTAAAACTAATCATCTCTAAAAGTCTACAAAATAACTTCATCAATAATTTATGGAATAGAAGTTATTTAAGAAAATTACATCAGCTAACACCTTTTTAAGTTGAAGCATTAGACGATTTATAATTTGAAAATGAAATTTTCTAGGAGGGAGATGATAATAAAAAGGAAATCAATATTTGGGAAATAATTAAAAAGTTCTTTATCTAATTAGACGTGTTCACACCATATAGCAAATTCATTTTTATTTGGGATTTGTTTTAGATCTTCACTTATGTGTTGATATTTTTTTGGTTGCCTTACAAGATTTCATTTTAATTGGATTCCTTAGGATAATTATTAAACTACAAACCGAACAATCAAATGATAGAGATTATTTTATTGACCATATTAAGTTTTGATGTCGTAGTTGGGTTGAATTTAGCCTTTATTCATAAGGGGATTATAATAACGGACAGAAAGAGAATCATAATTAATTATTTTAAGCAATATGCATTTGTAGACCTTGTAAATATAAAGATGTATATTAGTAAATAAGGTTTCAATAAGTACTGTGACAATTCAATTCTTCATATTAAATGACAGCTAGCAAGATCATAATATCGACAATGACTTGACTTTACAAATAATATTTTGTGTCATATTTTATATATTAAGAATGACAAAAATAAATAAGATATTAGCATAAATACAAGAGTAAATATTAAATAATATTATAGATTTTTCAATTTAAATGGATCCTTGAATGACTTAGTTGGATTGCTAAAATTGACGATGATAATTTTATTCATTGCTCATATATGTGCTTGTGTTTGGCATGGAGTAGCCTTCTATAATGATTCTTATTCTTGGTTAGATGCTTATAATTTGAGAGATTCAGGAAATGCATCAAAGTACAATAGAGCAATATACTGGGCTACAATGACAATGACGACAGTTGGATATGGAGATATAACTGCAAAAAACAATGTAGAATTATTGATTAATAATCTGACGATGTTTATAGCCTCAATAGTTTTTGCTTATTCAGTAAATAGTATAGGAATATTTGTGTCAAATATGTATAAAGGAACTATGGAATACAGTAGAAGTGTTACTCTAATTAATACTTTTATGTCTAAAAATAAGATTTAATTTTAGCTTCAGACAAGAATTAGGAGTTATTTGGAATATATTTGGTAGGAGGAACAAAATATGAATGATGATGAAGTTTCTTAAATCATTTGTAAATTAAGCAGTCATTTATAAGATGAACTCTAATTTTAATTAAGAGGAAATATACTCAGGAATTGTAAAGTTATGGTCAAGATATTTTCTGAAAAAATGATCAAATGTTTATTAGGATAAATGGAAGAATAGAGTTTTTCACCTGAAGAGAGGATTATTACTATCAATTAAATTGATGATGGTTGTTTGTATATAATTACTAAAGGAGAAATCGAATTGATATTTGAAGGCATGAACAGTCTCAATGAAAGAGTGAAAAGAAACAGTTTGAAATATCTATCTTAAGGTGATTTCTTTGGTGAACTTTCATTTTTTACAGGAGAACCGAGAAAATGCACAGCCATTTCAAGAGGATTCACAAAAGTATTTAAAATAAGAAGAGAAAACTTTTTGAAGGTGTTGTCTTCATTTCCTAATGATTATGAAAAGTTTTGTGAAGTGAAACATTAATTGAAATAAGGAGATTTTAATTCTTTGTAGATTTAATGTTATAGTTGTCAAAGTACTTCTCATTTAATTGATTCTTGCAATTATCTCCATTTTTGTGCAGACAAGGAAGCAATTCTTAAAAAAGAACTTTACCCTCATCATTAATATCGTTCTCGATTAGTTAGTAGAGGGGCAAAGGCTTTTAAACACAAGTGGGATCAATATAAATATTTAATCTAAAGAGCTAAAGACTTTTAAACTGATTTTTATTAATAACCAACTGATAATGAGAATGATGAAATTGAACAGCCTTCACAAATTGCCAATGATAACTACACTTATGAAGATGAATCTAAAAGTATGAAATTAATAATTATTATCCCTAGTGGAGATTGATGTACCATCCACACTTAATCAAAGAAGTAACTCAAGATCATTAAGTAGAGTGAGTTAGAAACCAAATCAAATAATCATAGAAGAAGATGAAGATTAAAAATTATATACGAGAAAGGTAGTTAATCCAAGGGGAACTTTACAAACAGCTGGATTTGGAAATGCAAGCCTAAGGGAAAGCAAAAAGTTTGATTTAGGGAAGGATTATGAAATTGAATAAGCCATTTCTGAAGAATCTTCATCAGAGGAAAAAGATTAAATTATCATTTCCTAAGCTACTTAGAAGCCAAGTTAAGACAGAACTCAAAAACAAAAAATTACCTTCATTAGAAATCAATCATCAGAGGACATAGTGCCTAGACAAGCTTCTCTTCGTTCAAGGACTTTTACTCAAAATAAATTATAATTAGATATCTTGAAAAGAAGCGCAACACCAGATAAGTTGAGTTCAGATATTGAGATATCTCCTAATTACAATATTACAAAGAGGTTGGCAGGGAAGAAACATTCAACGACTAAGACTTTTACAAAACAAGTCTATGAGGCTACAGAAGGCAATTAGAATTTGACTTCTATGATGGATAACTAAACTTACTTAGCGATTATACCTCAAATATATTCTCAATTTGATAAGATGTAGATATTTACTCATTTTTTTCCATTTAGTAATTACGATATTGTAATCAAAAGATATTAGAAAATCTAGAAGTATTTCGGTAAGAAAAGATAGTATCCTGAGGCTTCGAAGTATTCATTTTTTTTTATGACAATTAAGAAAGGGTGGAAATTGAGAAAGTTGGGGCAAAAGTTATAGGGATTGAAACTAGTTGAAACAATAAAGAAGCCATTTGTAAAAACTATATAAAGTGGCAAATATAATAAAACTAAGAATATATTAAATAATCTTGGGAATAATGGATAAATAATTCCTTATTTGAAAAATGGATAAATAATATAGGAAGAAAAGTTATGAGAATAATCATATTTTGAATGAACATAGTATTATGTTAGATTTATCAAAAATTTCTCTTTTTTTTTTTTGATATTTTTTATTTTCTCGAATTTTAATACCTTAATCATCAATCAATTGAAAATTTCTATTCAATTTAATTTAATTTAGATATTTATGATTAACTTCTTGAGTCTCTTTAATTTTGTTTAATAGTTTTTATTTAGATTAACACTATTATTCGTTTTCAACAAAACCAGTTAATTGTGGCTCTTGAGACTGTTTTGTTCTATTATTTCTTAAGTAACCCTATTATTTCAAATAGACTTTTAAGTTATTCTGTTCATCCTAAAGATACAAAAATATTCTTACGTTTCGATTTTGATCATGCGAGATTCTTGTTCTCAGAACTAGACTATGTTAAATTTTTCTTTATAAGTTTTGAATGTCCCTATCATCGTCGCTCATTATTTCCAGCTATTTATTCTATTGATTAAGGGAGTCCAAAGAACTGAAATAGCGACTTCGGCATGAGGATGCTTATTGTTAGGTAAAATCCTTTTTATGCGACAGGGTTTAAGTGACAAAATTCTGGATTGATTAAGGACTTGATAGCGGACTTCGAGAATTCTATATGTTTTTTTTGAGAAATTAGCTAATGACCATTTACATTTAGAATCTTTAGTTTATGGTATTTTCATCTTCATCAGGATTTTTGTATTTCTTGACTATTTTGCTAAAGGTTTGAGCACACTTTTAGATTTTGGAGAAATCGTTAACTTTAATGATTTCTTATCTTCGATCTATGATGGAATCAATTAATTTCAATCTATCCTTATAGGTTTGAAGAGATTCAACTGCCTTCTTAATTTAGGATTTCGAGAAAACATCGGAAATTTTGTTATAGGTACTTTTTAAATTATTATTCATGAAATAAATTAGTTATATTATTGTACTAAATTCTATATATAGCAATCATCATTTCAGTTTCCTCCAAAAGAGTTTCCTGCTTGATATTATTTATGACTGGAATTATTATTGTTCTTATGATTTTCATCATCAATTAAGTTTTCATCTGCTCCCGCATCATCATCCTCATCTTAGACCTTGTCAGGATCAAAAAGACCTAAATCATCTGGATTGACCTCAGTGTATGGGTGTGGAAACCCTTTTTCAATTTAATCTGAAGGAGAAACAAATGATTTTTTCAAGGCCAACTTATGTTTAACTTCCTTAAGAAATAGAATGCTCAAAATAGCTAAGGTATATAAAGAACAAGTTATAGTAATACCCATAAATCCATCAAACCTAAGATATTATAAACGCAGAATATTTACTTGGTGGCATCCTTTCCGTGAATGACCATGCTAACTATTTGAGCAATAAACGAACTTCCCATAGTAGCTCCTGAATATTGTAGTCCTATACAGAAGGAGTCATTCAATGGATATATTTATTCGCAACCCCATTCCAATAATAAAGGAATCGCAGGCAATATAAAAAATCCTTACAAAGTAGCCATTGCAAGCATCATTACATAGTTTTGCAAGTAACATCCCCACAAAAATCCATAAAAGGTTAATATAGTGCAAGATTCTAGAATAATAATAATAGGCTTGTATTTCCCCCAGCTTTTATATATTGTAGGAATGATCAATGAACTAAGAAATCCTCCGATGACTGGCATCACTGATAAAATGGCAATATCAGATTTACCATACCCATACGGCATCAAAATGTATACCAGAGCCACTCCATATCCCTTGTAAGAGCCATAAAACAAAGTGAAGGAAGTAAATATCTGGATCTACAATATAGAATTAGTTATTTTACAAATTTAGTATCCTTTAACATCTAGCAAATGCTATCGCTGAATGAGATTATTTGAGATGATCCTTTGGCAGCAGCCGATGGAGGAGTTTTGGGTTTGGTTTCAAAGAAGATCAAGAGTGGAATTAGGAACACTGCAGAGAACAATGCTTCTGAAAACAGCAGATACATAAATCTTGAATCTCCTGTGTCAAGTGCATCTTAAGTTGAATACTTATCAATGGTAACTCCTGCAAAAAATATAGGTGGTATTATATATCCTAGTATTCCACTAAAAGTGACTATGAAATTCAACATAGTCATCAATTTAGTTCTCTGATTGGATGGAAACCATTCTACTGCAACTGAAGCCTAAGCGTTGAGAATTAAGGGCCTGCCCATTCCACATAATGTTTAACCAATTAAGACATATATGAATCTAAATTTATTTTAAAGTTCTTACGACTATCTAACTAAGCATCTTGAAAAAACTCCAAGCAAAGTCAAAATAGCACCTACTTTCACAGACATGCTACTTCCCTTATACATAATCAAGTAACTAGCCGGAAAAGTAAATAGTGGATGCATAAATAAATATAAAGTTGCAGAAAGAGTGATAACCGAAGTATCTTCACCATAGATGTAACTTAACTTTATTGAATTATACAATTTTTACTTCAATCGCTATAGGATTGCAAGTGGCATAGACTGCTGTATTACATAATTCAGCCATTGTGAACAAAAATAATATCGCATATCTCTTTTAATACAGTCGATATCCCTATGACACACTTGATTTAAGATCATCCGAATTGTTCATTGGATCTGATTGATCAGGACTTTAATCCTTCATAAATTTTTATAATAAATTTTATTTTTTAACTCTTAAATCATTTAAGTAAATATGTTTAAATTATTTATAAATCATAATTCATCATGTTAATTCATTAATTCGTCAATAAATTATTTCATCTGATTTGCTAATCTTTATTTATTATATTTTATTTATTCCACTGAATTTCCATCTTTATAAAATAAAATTAACGTTGGGAATCCACCAATACTTACAGTTGGAACCTGATGTTGAGTCCAATCCATCTCCGCTATCAACACATCCTTACTCCCTCTGTATAATGTTGCCAACTACTCAAACTCTTTAGCCATACTCTTACAATGTCCACACCAAGGAGCATAAAATTTCACTAGAACATGCTACTTACTCTTTATCACAATATCCTGGAATGACTCAGAGGTTACACCTATTACTTTTCCGTTATTGATGAAAGTTCCGTAATTATTTTTTATTCTCAATTATTCATTGATAAATTCTACTAATTTTTCTATTGATCTCTATTATGAATCATATTTTATAATCTCTCTTCCTTTTGCACTAATAAAAAATATAGAAGGATAAGAATTCATATTAAATCCTTCAAATTAATGCTTTGTAGCATCTGTTCTACAGAATATTAATTTATCTTAAAAAAGAGGAGTTAATTATTCAAATAAGAGGTTAGCTGCTTTGGAGTGTTCACTATTTGGGGAATAAAATAAGAAAAGCACTGGTTTGTCATTATTCAAAATCAATTTATCAAAATTTGTATTATTTATTTCGTTACCGGATGTTTAAGGAAATGACCCTGACTAAAATTTAGTAAATGGAATATGTTCTTCAATGTATAAGGAAATGGCCTCTGTTGACAATTCTCCTTTGTATATCACCAAATTCACCAGTCCATCTTATTTCAAATAGATATAAACAGAAGGTACTTCTTCAACTATTATTTCCCTTATTGGCTTTACACTTCTGTTTTACTTTGCAAAAACCAAATTGTTTCTGTGTTGATATTTAATTGATAAATCAGAAAATGCATCACTAAAACCAAAGCATAGATCACAAGCATTCATATCATTAAATAAGATAACATGATTTGGATTTTGATTAATTTATATCTAATAGTTTAAAGGAGTCAAATCATGAACATAGCCATCTCCTTCCCAAAATGGTTCCTAATATATTTATATTTATTCAACTATCTTTCTGAATGTAGGAATTGAACCTTCATCATATGGCAAGTTTATTGTAAACTTTGTATAAAAATTATAATAGTAAATTCTCTTGTATTCTAATGATTGACCAACAAAATATTAGAACCTTCTTAAAGTCAACTCATTTTTTGTATCAATCAACACAAACCTCAACTTACCCTTGAATTCAGCTGCAACTATCTCATAATAACTTTTTATATAGTCATTAAATTGATTGGGATTCAACACCATACCAATTAATGGAATTTCTTCAGCTTCTGCTTTTTTAAATTCTTCCTCAGTCAAAGAAAACACCAAAGGATACGCATTTTTTTCAATGAAATCTTAAAACTCTTCTAGTTTTCCATTAAAATATATTTCCTTAGGGAAAGCCTTATTGGTTATAAAGGCTTCATGGTGTTTAGGGTTGATCTATTGATTAATTATGCCGAATTTAATTTAAGGCATTTTTATGGCAATATCAGCTATCTCATTAGTAGTATAATAGGATAGGACTGCAATATTGGACCTTTTGATGAATAAGTCAATCTAATAGTCATATCACTTTAAATACTTCTTTTTATAAATTCAATTAGGTGATTAAGCCGTACTGATTTTGTAACGCATACTCGAATAATAATTCCAAGTCTTCATCATTAGGGAATACAGATTTTTCACCCTCATTATACAAATAAGCAGCTGGATATGATTAACTATTCATTCTAATTGAAAGTGCTCGATTTTCACATGCTATTACTTCAGCTACATATATTTCGTATTCTTTTAATCTTTTCGCCAATTCGATGAAAGTGGATTTTACCTTTAAGCTAAAATAGAATTGATTTGATACCACAAATTACAACCATATGTTGTAAATAGAACAATTAATTTTGGATATTTTGCAATTGCATAATCGTAATTGTTTCTATCCAATAATAATAGACCATCATTTTCATCTATTTTTTCTTTGAGTCTGCTCTAGCAATCAATAGAAAGGAACAAAATAAACAAAATGGTAATCACTTTCATTTTTTATTAGTATTAGTAATTTTAATTTAAAATATAAATTCCTATTTTGAAAGGAGATTTAAAATATTCTGAATTTATTAATATTCATAATCAATACTATGGCAACTTTTCTTCTTATGACATTGAAGCTGCAACATACTTTTTAGATTTCTTTTGAGCCTACTAAAAATTTTGTGAATTCAAATTTCCTGAATCAAAAGCTGAATCTAAAAACTTAGATTTCGAATCAAATAACGCATTGGATTGCAGTTAATTATTGGGAATATCATCAAATATCTTATACTTTCTAGTTTGTGTTAAGGTACCTGAATCAAGTACCTAATCCTGTTTTGGTTTGATTGGATGCAAATGTTCATTTAGGAAATCATCAGGGGGTTTGTTTTAAGTTTCCTGTATTTGTCCAAACTTATGATTTGTTTGAATAAATTAAACTTCTTCTAATTTATTTTTTTAATTCATATTATTCTACTCTTCTTTAAAAAATTGTTATTTAGTCAATTCCCCTTTTCTTGAAGCTGATGGTCTTAGATATTTGTCCAACAGTTACTCATTATCTTTGGAAGCCTCTGGACGATGTGTGGATCCAAAATCTTTGGGAATTGATTATTTAAAACCAAAGAAATTATGCGATTAGGTTTTGGTAAGCTTGAAGTCATAATCAGTTTAATTTTTGAGGTTCTGATTTTCAGGTTATTTCTGCTTGAAATTTGATTAAGTTAAGGTTGCTTCTGCTTTTTTTCCAGTATAGAATTCATAATTTGACATCTCTGCCTTCTTGAGCTGTCTGAATTATGGAACTGAGGATGCTGATTAAAATATTTCTTCTTCTTGAAAGGGAGGCGGCACCAAATTAATTTAAGGGATATCTGGCTATATTTGTTGTTCAATTGGTTTTGATTTTAATATTTCAGTGGATTTAATTATATCAGGAGAGGGTTATCTAATTGTGATAAGTCGATAATCTGGTGATTTGCTAATCATTACTTTAAATGGTAAGAGAGGACAATATTTAATGAATGTTTCAGAGGGTATATTCTCTTCTGAACATTTAATCCTTTTTTTCAAACAAAATATATCTTGGTTGTTGTATTGAAATTTTTATTTGTTCATAAAATTGATTAAACTAATGTACTTATAGTATAATATACTTTTGAGTTGTTAAGAACTTTTGATTGTCTTCTAAGAGTTAGCAACATTGTTTTCCATTTTCTTTGTACTTCTCAAACAAGATCATTCTTATGGGTTCAGCCTATCTAAAGTACATGACTTCAATCTTCAATAATCGTTACAATTATTGTAATATGTCTGATACAATTTGATCATTGGTATTGTCATGAATTTTAGTGTCTAGAAACATATCAAAGGGACAGATTAATTGATAAAAGTCATCCCAATTGATAGTTTAATTATCAGAAGAATATAATTAAAATAAGCAATCTAATTCTCTTTCGTTTATGTTTTGCATAAAATTTCTGAGTTTAATAGAAATGCACTTATTTACCTAAACAAATTGATAATGTCACACCGCATGATTCCTTTTGAGTTTGTAATCAATAAATTATAGATTGTTCTGGCTTAGAAATGGGGAGTTATACTCAATTTTATTCTTTATTCTTCTAACTGATAAGTATTATGGTCTCATACTTGACTTTCGAAATGGCTGGTCATTTTTAATAGTTAAGCAACTTTAGTTAGGTATTCATTTGCTAACATCTTTATTATTATTTAATCAATAAAATTATATGATCAATCAAATTAAGAGTCATCAAGAAATTTCTTCTCTTGCAATCCTTAATAGGTAGTAAGTCCCATTTGATTTTCAGGTTTCGTATATTCTTTGATTTTCATTCCCTTTTCATGGATCTAAAACAACTTAAGAATATATATACCTTGTCGATTTCTTCAAGAGCATCAATTAACTTTTATTGAGTGGCAAAGTGTATGCCTTCCTTCTAGGAGATGAAATTAGCCGAAGAAGGTACAAATTGATGAAATGGTTCTTCTAAATCATTTTATATGATTGCATCTATCCTCCTCACATTAGAGATGGTTTATTCAAGCAATCTCCGAAGAATGGGATTTTTGCTGGCTGCCTATAAGATTTCTTCTTTATTTAATTCTCCATCCCCATCTTAATCAACTTGTTTGATCATCTCTCTGATGACCATTTTAAGCTGATACTTGTCATTTTCATTGATGATGTTTTGTTTCAAAATGTTAAAGATCTCCTTTTCACTCACCTTACCTGAGCCATCCTCATCGCATAAGTCAAAGAAGACTATCATATATAAGGATAAAACTAATTACTTTTTAATTTCTCATCAATTGTATCATCCTTCAACACTTCCAATCCTACTATAAGTTCTTTATAATCAACAGTACCACTTGAATCCTCGTCGAAAACATAAAATAATTTCTCTGCCAGATTCTTGTCTGCTCCCAGTCCAAAGGAAATAAGCAATCCTTAAAATTATTCTCTATTCAATCCTTCAGGAAAATCCTTTGCTTATTTTACAATGGATTAATAATTTTAAAAGATTTATCTAATGGCATCTTTCCTGTTCTTTAATAACCATTAAATGGTTTTCCATTTCATTTTAAATTTGGATTTTGGGGCTATCTTTTTTTTAAATGATTATAGATTGAAGCCATAATCCTTTCTTGCAACATTTAACATAATACTAATTGAGCCACTGGCCACAGGCAAGGCTTACTAATTAATTTTGCTTTGCATAGAGTATTTTTGTTTATTGCTGGTCTTTTTATCATAAATGAATCTGTAGATCTATTCCATTCTTAAATGTTAAGGTGCATTGCATTTATGTTTGAACTCTAATTTAATTATGAAATTTACTAAACAGAGCTTGATCATGAGAGGTTTTAATGATTTCATCGAAATCTTCATCCTCGACAGGTTTGGATTTGATGGTTTTGTTGATGACAAATGATCTAATGGGTTTTGCAGTTGTGATTCTGGTTTGGCTGCGATTGGATGAAATGGTTTGTTATGGAATGGTTCTGTTGCTCTGAATGGTATTGGCTGATTGTATCCTGTGATAATATTGAGTAGGTTGTTGTCTGACTCCTGAGATTGAGAGAGAGGGTTTATAAATTTACATAAAATTTATAAATATAGAATAATCAAATAAATGAATATGACTCATTGTGGTCATCAATGTACACGCTAGCCTAATGTTTGGAGTTGTCCAAGTCAATGGGCTCAAACTTAATGATATCGACATTTCCCAATTGTGTTACCTTGTGAGATCTGGAGTAGAATGTATAAATACTGCTTGATTGCAATGACAATTCTGGTTATTTGGATGAAGTAACGTAAAAAGATTAGAATCAACCCCAGTGAGTCGTCAACCTCGATGATATTGGTTTTTATCTATCTAGGTTTGCTTATAAGATGGAGAGTTACGAATGCAATTCAAAGAAGTAATAGAGACTTATCAGGATTAATATCAAGATGAATGCTGCCAAGTCGATGATATTCCAATATTCCTTAAAGAAATACTAATGCTAATGATGCTTAGAATTACTTCTCTCTCTGCAATGATGCGTATGCATATGTCTATCATGATTGCTAGTGTCAATATTATCTCCGCTTGGATTACCATGTTCTCCTTGAGACTTAATTAATTATCACAGCTTACTTTTATTCCGGGTCAATTATTATCTAAATGTTAAAAGTTCATACATACACTAATATCATAATTGAGAGCAATACCTGCACCACAGAAAACATCAAGTAATGTTTGTGCATTCTCAAGTTCGTCATCAGATGCTTACAATTTTATTTCATTTTAATTATATTATTATTATAAAAACCATGCTTTCAGATTACGAATTGCAACAACAGGCTCTCAAATAAAAATTAGCCAAGCAACAGGCCTAAGAATAAATCAACTCTTTGGAAGCCAAACTCCAATGTAATGTATTACCATATTCTAGAAATCATTCAAATTTAAAAAGAAATAGAAGAACAGGATTGTATTACTTTATCTATCATTTAGTCTAATACTAAATTAAGTGCGACGACTTATAGAAGAAACGAGAACAGCAAATGAAAGAAATTCAGAATTTAAGAGCATCCTAAGAGGCTGATTTATAAAGGTAGGGTATAATCTAGTAACTTAAATTAGAACAAGGAATATGTATAATGAAATGTGGAAAATGGCAGAGCAATTCCAAAAGAAACAATAAATATTTATTTATCAATAGAAGTTAGACAAAGATTAATTGAAATCCTTTTAAGTTACCTAAACCTCCAAGCAGTCTCATTACGAGATGAATAAGGAATTAGTTGTCCCTCACAATCCCTTTGTCTTATTATCCTAAGCACAGGGCTTTTTGGATTCCCAATACGATGCGTATTACGAAGTTAATAGTCCAAAACTATAAGAAATTGTAGAAAAAGAAAGCTTGTACCCCAAAAGTCAGATCTAGATTACTTTTGTGAGTTTCAAACCAGACATGCCTACTTTGGAACAATTCGAAAAAAGAAGATTCGAAGGAACTGTAAATCAAATACCATTATCGATGCAATTGCTAATTGACTTTTATGACTTTCCTACTTTTAAATCAAGTACTCTTATTTATGAAGATTGTCCTACCATCGAATAAATTAGAGTAAGATTATAGTATGATTCTATATTAGAGACAAGTCGGCTATGATTAGGAACTGAAATTGGCATACGAGGATTATTTCACCAACAAAACCTTTGGTAAAAAGGCTTGTTTTGTATTTGAAGTAGAAAATGACTTGAAATTTGTTTATTATCTTCTGTTTAAGAATGCATACATCAGAGTGTTAGATGCAATAACAGGTGAAAATTACGGGTATTGCCAAATACCTTTGAACTCATTAATAAGAGAAGACAAAAGTGATATATTCTCAATCTAAGAGGTCTAAGTATTGAGTTATGACTGGACAATTACATATGGAATCTTCACAATTACCATCTAAAACATTGGAATCAGTTAAGAATCCAATGTTGCAACACTTACGAACTTTGATCAAAATGCATTCAGTTAAACGTTGAACATCCAATCATTGTTATCAGTCACATAGAATGTCTACTTTAATTAGGTTATGGACAACAAATCGAAAATTTAAACATAATATGTGAATTTTTCAAAGGTGACCTCAGATTCAGCTGTCAGATCAGAAGACAGGATGAAAATTAGAATTTCTCAACTTAAACCCCAATCATAAATTTCACAAGCACGTAAGAAAATAACTTCGGACAAACCCAAAGACCTTACTGAATATGGACATTCAGCAATTGTAAATGTGAAATTAAATGATGTGGATGAACGAATACGAGTGAATGAAAGAATTAAGTCGAAAAGATCGGATATACTTACTTATTTGAGTACTAAGGATGACTTTCTAAAATTATAAGCTGTAGAATTGAGTAGGAAATGGGATCGCTATTAATTTCTAAGTTCAGTTTTGCCATCTCATATGATTCCAAACACTTTACATCTGCCGGTAGGGGAGAAATGTATTTAATTTATTGAGTACTTAAATGACACTGATGAGGATAAAATTGTCACTGTAGAGATATCGCCACCCATTATTACATACTTAGTAGGTGGAGAAGAACTTGAATCTATTTATGAAACAAAAGGGATTGCATTTCATTCCAGAGTTGAAGTTGAACAGGATTCATTCAAATGTCATGCCTAATAGAAATGCATAATTGCCATCATATTCTACACCTTAATTGAATTTACAACTGAAATAGAGATAGCTGTCTATTTGAAATTGAAGCAATAACCAATTTGTGGTTCATTGTATAAAGTATTGCCCAAAGCTCAAGTAATTGATATGAATTTTGATTTCTATCGTCAACCTAATTCATAGATCGAATTATTTTTGCCTTAGGTTTTCTGCTTTTGTGAAATTAAATATAGGAAAACACCTATTATCATTTGCAATCGAGAGGAAGTCACCTTTGGAATAAATCCTGATGATATGAGAATTAAATTAGAGTTAAAAACTGCTGACATCGGTAAATAAATTATACTATTGTTATTCTTCTACCGAGATAAACATTGCCATTATTTGTTATTATCAATAAGTGTCAAAATCACGAGTTTAAATCTTATCAAACTATCAACTGTGATTGGTTAAGCCACTTCATGTTCAACTGAATTTCAATCTGACAAAAAAAGACAAATCTACTTTCACAGTTTGAATCAAGACAAGATTTGGTTCGAGTCTCCATTTGATAAACCAGTTTGGGTTGAAAAGAATCAAATCACAGTCATACCTTTCAAGGTATTCTAAATGACTTCGAACTCTCACAATGTCAAAGTGAATGCTGTTGATTCTACAACCAACGAGATGGTTTACTCTTGGCTCTTCCAAATCAGTTCCAACATGCCTCAAATTAAAAGAGTGTTCACATTCGATTGTTATTTTAGACAAGCTCACCCCTTCAAGATCTCCTATGCCAATTCTATTGGTAAGGTACTGAGTTTAAATATCGTCTCTTCTTCTTATTTGTTAAAGGTGTTCCAATCTCAAATCAAAGTTCCGATTGCTGGCAAAGCAGAAATCGAGCTTGCCTTTATGAAGGCCGAGGAATATCCAAGTTAGGATTTTAATGTTGTGGAAAAGCAAAGGGAAATCCAATTATTCATTTACGAAATTAGGAATAACATTTTTGAATGCTACTTATTTTAATTCAATTTATATGACAAGGAAAATGAGAGCATTCCCTTTGAAACTATCGAAGAGTTTCGTAAACGACCTTTTTCAATATAATCTAAAAAGTGAAATAAATATGATTTGTTTTTTTACACAATTTATTATTTATATATAAATTTAAGTTTTTTTTAAACAATAATGGAATTCAACTCAACAGGCATCGTTGTTTAACCTCATCCCAGTATAAAAAAAGAAATTTGGAATCAATTCGTTTGCGAATACCCTCGATGTTCAAATCAATACAAATTACCTGAAAATCCGAAGGACAGATACAGATTCCTATCAGCTTTGATGATAGCCAACATTTTTGACACTCTGACCAGTTGGCAATAACTAAAAAAACTCTATGATGTCTACGAGTTCTTGGGAAGGATTGCAAATGAAAAGGAATATCCACCATTAATGTAAAAACACATTTTAAATTTGATGAAATCATTTAATACTCTGATCAACAATTTACAACCCTTTGATTCTCGCAAAATTGATAGCAACCATCAACACTATCAAAAGATATAAATAGTTTAAGAGTACCTCCAGAAACAAAGAAAATACATATACTCCTTGTTGGAAAGTGAATAGGGAATCAGCACTCTCTTCAAGTTATCAAGAGGAATAGCTCTGAGTCTGTATCTTAAACCCGATTATGAAAAAATTACTCCAGTTTCTAGATTCATTACCTCACCAAGCAGGGAAGAGATAATCAAGAAATTGAGTAGTGAAGATTTAGAAATTAATTCAAAGAATCATTTTATTTTGGAAGATTATGAAATCGTAGCCATTTCTCATCTGCTTAGTTGTCCAATCCACTTTTTTATTAACTTTTTTGAACCAAAATGCAATTATCTCATCAAAAGAAGAATCCATCAATAATAAAGCGAAGAAAAGACTATTGCCTTCTTCTTAGAAATACAATAAACTAATTTCACTGTCAGAATTCTATCCTCCACTCCAGATATCATACACATACAGAATATCATTAACTAAAGAAAATTTATATATCAATCTAATCAACCAAAAGCCATTGTAGAATATTTGTAATAAATCATTGAAAGTATATTAAATCAAGCCACGCATGATTTTTCTAATCTCAATAAATTTTGGATTGTTAAGATGCTATAGATCATTAAACAAGGAGAAGCCTAAACACTCATAGCCAATAGATAGGCTATTAAGATAAGTGAATTATTTGCAAGGGAAAGCTATAATTTGTTTTAGCTCTTGAGCTTAGATCCAAAGATGCATTCAGAGTTTGTCTTAAATTCTGAGTAGAATCTGAACTAAACTGAAGAACTCATAGAAAACATCATTATCTCTTAAATTACCATGATCAGAGATTAAATCACAGAAATAGCTAATAGTTCGAAGAGACCGCCATCTATCTCTCAAAATCAAATAGTCTCAGGTGATAAAGTCTCAGTGCCTAGATATTTAGTTAATAATTCATTGTTTCAATCGCATACTAATTAGACTCCCAATTACTTTTAATAATAAAAAAAGTTAAATTTAGCAGGCAGATTGATAGCAAAGGATTTGGACAATGACTTACCTGAAAATTCTGATTCCAGTGAAAGAGATCGCAATCACCATTTTTAAGCTAATTCCATACAAAATATACCAGTCACATGCAAAGAGTATGATACTGAAGATGAAGTTGAATTTAAGAGAGCAGATGATCAATAATCAGCAGAAAAACAAATTTAAAGGATGGAATAATATCCATCTGAGGAATATCCCTTGGTTAGACCACCTAAATATTCATCGTAAATCAAAAATGATGTGGTTTCATAAAAAGTCTCTTAAAATTCATACAAATAAGTTTAATCCGAAAGGAAAAGACAAAAAAGTGTAGAAAATACAGATTTTGAAGCTAGTTTAAATTTATAAAATGATTATCTTGTTTCTAGTTAGAATAGAGCATCTATAATCAGAGCTCAATCGGATTTGAATGCATTGAAACTGTCAGTGAAACAAAGAGATAGTCTAGACTTTGAGCCTAAGAAGTAGATTATCAATTAAGTGAATAAAATGAGCAGTTCTTAGGTCTTGAGATCAAGTGTCAGGTATGAGTAACAACAGATAGGCAATGAATTATATTAAAGTCATATTTCTGAAGCTATGAATGAATCTAAAAGTGAAATCAGTATGATATAGAAATGGTTTTGTCCAATTTGCTTCACGGAAATCTATCACCCTGATCAAATCAGAAATCTCCATGATGATCATAAGGTTTGCAAGTCTTGTTTGGAAGATTGGATCAAAGTAATAGTAATATTTAAATAAGGTAAAATTTAATTCAGGACAATGGAACTTTAAATTTTTTAAATGTCCAATTCAACTTATTGAAGGGGAAACTATGAAGCCCTGTGAACACATTATTGAATAATAGGAAATCAAGAATGCGCTATCTTCTGACGAGTTTAGTAAATTAACTGAGAGAGCTATGAAACATGGTATCATTGACATTATATGTCCAAATCTATCTTGTTAAGCAAGTATTAAGGGTATGCCTCCTTAAAATTAAAATGGGTTCTTATGTCCTAAATGTTCTCATAAGATTTGTTGGGTGTGCAAGTAAACAATTACGTTTCATTATTAAAATTTAGAAATTCAGATCATGGTAATTCAAAATGTCCACAAAGACTAGACGAGATAAAAGTAGCCTTACAAGATGAGAGAGTTAGTTGTTGTCCTGGATGCTTGGAAATCTATATGAAAAATGATGGATGTGAACATGTTTCATGTACCAACTGTTTGATAGAATTTTGTTTTGCTTGCAGTGCTCAGAGACCCCCTATTATAGCACATGGTATTTATGTGAAAAGCAAATTTAGGGGCTCATTTTCATAGGGTTGGTTGCTAATACAGAATGCCTTGGTGGAAGGATCAATAAAAGAAAATAGAGAATTTGGATGATGAATATTTACCTGATGAATGTGAATATTGTAAACGAAATTAAAAACCTTGTCCTCGTCCTATGACTTTGGCTGATTTTAAGAATTTAGCTCATTTAAACTTTTGATGTATTGAAAAGTTATCAATCAGTACTAATTTAATATTCAGTTATATTTTATATATTCATCTATGTATTTTGGAGTTTAAGTATGTTTGAGTTTAATGAAAGTTAAAATTTGGAATAGATTTTAAATTATAATCATTAGTATATTTTCAATACAGAAGTTATGGGATTTCTACAAAGCAAACAATCGCTCTTTATCAGGCCTTTGCAATCTTCACAATAAATATAATGCCCGCATGGTATAGCAACATATTCTCTATCCTTTTCAAAACATATTTAACATTTCTTATCATCCTTCATTGACTTTGTTAAATTGGTTTATTGAGTTATCTTCATTTCAATTTTCCATTATAGTTATTTAATCTCTTTATTTTGAGGGAGCTCTTGCAATTCCTCTTGTATTGTAAACAATTTATCAAGGTTTTTCTCTATGGCTTGTAGATTCTTGTCTGATGGTTGCAGCACTTTAATATTTTCGATTATGGCATTTTTAGTTTATAAAAGAAGCTTGGTTGATATTTCGGATGAGGTTTGTTATATTTAAACCTATTGAGTCTTATCGTCCATTTAGGATAGCACATTCATTATTCTTTTCTTGTACTAATCCAATTTGATGCTCTACTCCGATTTTGTTGTTTGATTAGCAAATGTTTTACTTATATCCTTTTTAAGTCTATCAATACTTGTGTGAGGAAGCTGAGTATGATTATTTTATTTCATATATGTAATAAATAAATATATTGCATTTATTAGCCATCGAATTTGGGAATAGAGATCCTGCTTTTGATAATTGAAATTATACTTATATATATAAATCATAAACTCATTGATTTTCATCTTTGAAAGAATTCTGCTTGAGTTGCTCTAGTTCATATTTTAATCTTTGATTTTCTTCAATCAATTATTGGGATTTTAGATTCCAATTCTATTATAAATTCGAAACAAACCTTTTATAAATCATCTAATTGTGCGAAGGATTAAACTGAAAGGATGTTGAGTTATTTTAATAGATCCTATCGGATTTAGTCTTATTCATCCAATTTTTAGATATTAAGCTAGGAGTGTTATTTATTCTCTTCAATTTATTTCATCAAATTCTACCTTAGATATTGCATTATACATTTAATTTCTAAGTATTTTATTCACTCTTTTTTTTAGAGTCTTATTATGCAGAATACATTTCATAGGTTGGAAGTGTTATCAACAAAGCATAGATAAGGATTTCGTAAAAGAATTCAACTCCCTTGCAAACTTATTAATTAGATTACTTTTTCTAACGCCAGTTCATCATTCAAAGGCTTAAAGAAAAAATCGCTACTTTTTTTATCAATACCCATAAATTTGCTGTCTATTTTTTACTAGATTTCAGAATTTCATTACGTCCCATTTATGTTAAAAGTTTCCAAGACGAACATAAAATTACTTGATCCAAGTTGTGTGTCCTGATTGAGCCTTCTTTAAATGTGCAGCCTTTGTTCTTGCTATCACTGGCCTAGCAAAGACCCTGACAATCAACGAGAAAACTTTGAATAAGGGCAACATTATTGTTAACTATAATAATTTAGATAAATAAAATAATAATCAATTAACATGGTTAAATAGTTTTGTTCGAAAAGCTATAAAGTATAATATAGACTCATACTTTTTGAAGGGGGAGGAGAATTGCTGTAAACAACTTATCTTTCATTCGACAGCAACCTGGATCGTTCCATTGTACTCACAGTAAAGGAAGATTGATTGTCATGAGTCGAGTCCCCTATTATATAACCATATTCTCGAATAAAGTTGAAAAATTTCTAGTCCAAAGGCTTTAGAAGTTTAATTTGTATAACGTCACTTTTAATTCTTGGACTCCTTTCTTGTTCCTGGAACGTAGTTGAGTTTATTTTAGAAAAAGATTGATCTGACTCTAAACCTGAAAACAATCGTTTTTAAAGTGAAACATCCTATTTGGATTGTTGAGATGAAGATCTTTAATCTAAATTCGTCTTAGTGGCATTTTGAAACACTTTAATTTAAATTCCCTAATTGTCGTCCTCTATTTGCATTCCTCTTGTATTTCTTTGTTAAAGATTGTAAATTTATTGAACTTATTGAATATTCCTATTTCCCTGATTAATTGGGTTCTTAACAGGTTTGATGTCATATTCCTATAATGTTTTTTGTTGTATTTTGTTCGATGCTGCAAATCTCTGTTAGTACATTAATTTATTTATCTGAAATAATATATTAAAAATTTAAAGTATTGTTAAACCTGTAAACTTACATTAAATTCACTGAAATTTAACAAATTGCTTATTCATTCTCCTCAACTAGTCAACACTCCATTAATACAATAACATATCAACTATATATGGAAATATAATCTAAAATGTATACTCGATTAAGACAAGAATTTCATTTTTTTATCACTCATAAAATAAATAAATTTAATCTTAAATGATTCGTAATATTTTGAAATTGGGGTTCTCAACAGCAACGCTAAATGAGGAGCCAAAAAGCAGATTCAGCTTGTTCAAACTGATAGTTGGAGCTGCCATTGGAGTTTATGGATTCGATTAAGGCAGGAAATATCGGGAATATTTCACGAACACTTTTCTTACTAAAGAATAAATCAATGAATTAGTGATTAAAAATATAACCAAATCCAAAGATTAGCAACTGACAGCCCATCCAATTAATAGCATTAACAATATCAAGAATAAGGAAAAGGTAGTGATAGTTGGAGGAGGTAATATTGAAATTTACAATTAGGAATAATTGGAATCTCACAAGCATTAAAATTATTAAGGATGGGATATAATGTGACTGTCATTGAATAAGCCAATACTGTTGCATCAGAATGCAGTGCCTTCAATGGAAATGTGTTTAATCCCATGTACTTTTTACCATTAGTCACCAGAGTAATTACAAGTCTAATAACCATTAGGATAATTTGATCTATATGATTAAGAACATATTTGAGAAACCAGAGTTGACTACAGTCAGATTCAACATGAATGCATTCTTAGAAACTAATTTTATTTAGTGGGGAATTAATAGTTTACTTTTGAGTATGACAGAGTATTGACATCAAATATAAAATTAGCTATGCTTAAATTGAGAATTCAAGAAAACAATTGAAAATTGGATCCTTGACTTTGCAGGACATAGAGAAGTTAAGACCCTCAGGATTATTTAAAGGCCATTTAGTAGCAAAGGGATAATTAGGGTTTTTTGCCTCAGATTAAAAAGTTGAGGCCTACAGAGATAGGTTGGTGTTGTTGGGAATCCCTCATATCAAAGTGGATTCCTTCGATTAAATCGAAAAATTCGCAAGAACAGATCTCAAAACTGAAGAAAATCTGAAACTCTTCAATAGATTTAAAAAAGCTTTGATTTTAGTTACTGAATCCAATTTGGAAACCAGAGAATTAACACAAACCATGCTCAAGTATTGTTAAGAGAACTTTCCGAATCAATTCGCAATTGCATTTTAGACTTCTGCTTAAAATTTTGTCTTAGATGGAGATAAAAATGTTAAAGGAATTCAAACTAATAAAGGGTATATATATGTGTATGATAATTATTGTAGAATCGTATTGGGAGATAGTTTTGTTATATGTTTAGCACACAAAAGCAAATAGCTAGCACATAAATTAAAATTAAATCTCCCCATTATACCTGCAAAAGGATGGGCTATGGGAAGAACTGCTCCATAAAATTTCAATCAGACTTTAGTTAAAGAATTCACTTTGAATACTCCCAACTATTTTGCTACAAATCTAAATGGACATTTAAGATTGGCAGGGTGTGCAGAGGTTTGCAATGATACTCCATCGACTGATGCAAGTAGTGAATGGGGAGCTATTTAAATATTAAATAGGTTCAATGAGCAAAATGGATTTGACTTTAAAATGAGTGATTTTACTGTTAGAAGTTGTTTCAGACCATTAACACCAGATGATGTTGCTATAATTAGTGAAGTCCCAGAGTTCAAAAATGTATTTCATAAATGCTGGTCATGGATCAAGAGGCATGAGTTACTGCTTTGGAGCAGCAGATATCATGAGTTAGATTATGGAAGGATCCAAGGAATTTGAAGATTACAGTGTGAAGAGGTATTATTTTATATGATTTATTAATAAATATTCGTTAAATTATGCAAAAAAAGAAAGGCCATTCCAAGAATCTATCTAAACAAGCCATTGATTTAATTAATTACTATAATAACTTAAGGACATCAATTTCTAATGAATTTGCGATGATGAATTTAAATAAAAAAATGTCATTATACATTGCTGATCAACGTATTTCATTTTGCAATTCTAATAGCCATCGTTGAAGAAGATGTTGAGGATTCTCCAATTGGATTAAAAAGGAATTGCTCTAAGACAGAACATGTTAATATCAATATTTATACATAACCATATGATTTAGATGAGGAATTATAATAAGATGTAAAATAGTTAAAACAAACTTTGAATTAAAGTATTTATCATAGGTAACAATTAGGAATAACTTAATTAAAAAGCATAATAAATCAATCGGAAAAAATGAAGAGTATGAAAAATTAAAATAATAAAGAAAATTAATGCTAAAATAATCAAAGTCTTGTCAATAAAACATCCACCAAAAAAAGAGTTTGAAAAAAAAATAATTGTTTCAATTTAATTATTAGAAGTCATTTTTAATTAAAGAACTTCTCATAAACTAAATAAATATAATAAATGCATCTTAAGAATCTCAATTATCTTTATCAAAATTATTAGCCTTATATTTTCATTTTTTAATTCCTTCTATAATTATGACTAATTTATTAAGGTTGTCTTTTTAATTGTAAGATTTAGCAAAGGTAAATGCATTTATAATTACAAAGGATCTAAGCATCACAATGCTTTCCAAATTTAATTTATAAATCTAGATATCTAAATTTAATATGATATCATTCTTGAAAATAGTCTAACTATTATCAATTAAATTTATTTAAAAAATAACTTGAGATAGTAAAATAGATTTATGTTAGTTTTTAATTTTTCTATTATTAATTAAAATTAATGAAGTAAGGAAGAATTTCTGATGTCAAATAATAGATTTCTTAGTAAAGTTGGATAATACTTGTAGTATTTTAAGCTTCTAGATTTGAATCCACTTAAGGTTCTTGAATTAAATAAATTTGATTATCTTAACCTTTTATGTCAGTATTTTTGTGGATAAATTAAGTTAAGAAAAAAAAATTTGTATTAAAAAAATAATATATAAATTATTTAGCTTAAATAATCACTTAATTGTCCTTGCTAAAATGAGAATTATAAATGAATAAACTAGACAATTATTAATTCAATTGAATATTATAATTTGATCAAATTAGTTTTAACAGCTTATAATTATCTCTAGTTAAGTTTACCTTCTTAGCCCTTGAATTGCATTTATAAAATCATTCAGTTTTAATTATAATGAAATTTTTTAATTACTTCAGGTGGAAGTTTGAGGAAACAGATTTGGAAGAGAAATATTAGATAGATAAAGCAAATGAAATAAAAAAGCCTGTCTTTTAATGTATACTTTTGCTTTCTTTCTGTTCTAACGTCACTGTATTAGCCCTACATTACTTTGTTTAACCTATAGGAACTTGGTATATCAATGCCATCTTAACTGGGCTGACAATAATTTAAGTTATAATCATACTTGTACTCAAACAGCTCCAATACTTATAAATTGGATTGACTTTAAGCAGTATTTCTATAGGAATTTTATAACTCAATGTTGATCCATTAAATACGACTTCGTCTGAATTTTATGTCTATGGCTGTATATTTACATAATTTCAAGCAGTTTTATTTATGATCTCTAATTTAAATCACGCACTTTTTTAAATTATTTGCAGTCTGGCAATCAGAACTTCAATTACTACCTTATATTCAAAAAGGCCAGATTATCTATCCATATTTTTAGGCGTTTTTGGCTGTTTTTTGATTCTTATTACTATATTTGTAAATGATAAAAATTCTAGAAGACATTTTATTTAAAATTTGAAAGAAAACAATCTAAAAAAGTTAGGCAACTTTTTGATAAATAAACCCTATCTTAAAATATAATTTAATGAAGATCAATAGATTTTTTAATTGCTTAGTCAAAGTCGGATTAACAAATTTCCAGGATACAATTCAGAGCTATGTGATGGTTGTAACTCAAGACAAATCTTAAGGTATTACAAATCTGATATCGGATGGCTAGAGTAGATTTTATTAAGTCAGCCACAATTGACTAAATAAGGTTGTGCATTAATAGTTAAGTGTGAAAAAATTAGATTCATAATAAAGGTTTGTGTGATTGATCCTTAATAACACCAATATTTAATACTATTTTAAGAATATCTATAGAAAGTTGTAAAGGTCTTGGAATAAGAAAAAGAACAAATAAAATTAAAAGATTTCTTAAATTAAAATTCCATTTTTTATCATCAAAAAGTATTTAATCTAGGAGCATTTAGTGTATTATTCTTAAATAAATAAGTTCTAAAGAGAATTGAGTTCAAGCAACTATTATAAAAAATAATCAGAATATACTAAAGTAAATTTTTCCCAAATATTGAAATCGAAACCTAAGCTAAAGAAGACTAAATTTATATATGTTCTTATTTACATTAATTAAGAATTTTCTTAATTTAAATATTTGAAATAATTTCAGAAATCACTTTAAAAGATTCAGAAAAAGTTGTTGTTCACATAAACCAACATCTCAATAATATTGAAGTGAAGTTAGAGGGACTAAATCAATAGCTTTTTAAGTAGTAATACACTTAAAATTACTTTATCAGAAAAATTTAAAGTTTATTATTGGATAGTTATTAATTTAATGGAAAGGACTCAACATTTTTACTAAAAAATTATCCTTGCGGGACATTCTATTAAAAATTAATTGAAACAAATTATTGAAATACCAATAACATCATCAAAAAAGGGAAAAAATAATATAAAATTTTAATTATTTCTATTATCAATTTAATATAATTAAAACCTGATTAATAATATAGTATATTTTAAATTGAAAAGACAACCATCTAGAATGCTGAACATGTTCTTATTATTTAATTAATTTATCAGAATATTTAATATCAATAATTTATAAATAGAATTTAATTAATAATCCCTATTGATTCTTATTATTATTTCTAATTAGAATATATATCAATATTTGTTAATGCCTTATTTAGACTATGGGATTATTGAATTTGAAGAGTATAGTGGATTTTATTAAGAAATTTATGAGTTTATCAATATTTGAAGATTAGAATTATTATTATTTTAATGATTTTGGAAGTTAAAATGATGATATTAAAATAGTAATATAAATAAAGGATGCCTTGCTTAATACTCTTTTTATCTATTAAACTATATTAAGTGTGTAAGATTTAAATTTGAAGCTGATTTTCTAAAATCAAAATATGAATTCTGGATACATGATGGGTTTGCAATGGATTGAAGTAAGGGTATAGGAAATTAAAGATAAATAAGTTTGATAAAGATGGGAAATGAAAATATGATATTTTCAAAAAAGGATTTGAATGAATAGATTTAAGTTAATATAATTTATATAATGAAATAATAATAACCACTAAAAGGAATACCAAACATTAGATCACAATATTATGTTGCTGCCTAGGCTTTGAATTCTTAATTATCTTCTAAGATTAGCAAGACTAAGTCAAGTTACATAGATGATTCAAACAAAAGTAAATATCAAATAAAAATCATTAGTCAAAGATTACTCTTATTTTTAATTATCTACTCAGAAAACTTAGCCAAAAAGCACAGCAAAGAGAGTAAATGTAAGCCTAGATTAACCAAAACCAGATGATTCAACAGTGTTACCTCCTTTGAGAAAAGAAATATTGAGATCAAGATAATCGTAACCTACTGTGACTAAAAGTAAATAACAACCAAGAAATAACTCCCCTTTACTTCCATTAGAGAGCATTCCTGTAATAGAACCATCAAAAATATCGCAAAAAAATATCGGGATCGTATCAGCCTATGCTGCAAATACTCACTAAGGTCTAGTTAGATAATATAACGAAGACAGAGTTTCTATTATTTTAAATTTAATGAGACCAAATTCCAATACAAGTTAAGGATATTGGCCTCAGAGTTCATTTTTTGCAGTCTATGACGGTCATGGAGGACCATAATGTGCAGACTTCATGAGAGACAATTTGCATTAATATGTAAAATTAATGATATGCATAGATTATTAAAGAGGATTGTTTTCCCAATAATCCCAAACTTGCAATTGAAAGAGGAGTCTCGAAGGCTGAGAAAACCTATTTAGAAATGGCCGATCAGAAAGTGTTAGATAAATCTGGTTGCTGTGCAGTATTTGCACTCTTTGTAGACAACAATTGCTATGTGGCAAATATAGGGGATTCTAGGGCAGTCATTTCCTAAGGTGGAAAAGGGAAATCGATTACAGTTGATCATAAGCCTTCAACTCAAGAGGAACAATAAAGAATTAGCAAATTTGGAGGATAAATATATTAAACTTAACTTTAATAATTAAACGGTGAAATATAATTAGGACCCCATAGAGTTTTGCCTGGGAGATTGGCTGTTTCAAGAACATTTGGAGATGCTGAGGCTAAGTTGACTAAATATGGAGGGATTCCTAATGTAATTTCAGCGGAACCAGATATATTTTAGTTATAAATTACAGATTAAGACTTCTTGATTTTGGCATGTAATTTTTTCATTTGATTAAGGTGATGGTATATATGATAAAATGAGTAGTGAGGAAGTTATATAATGCGCTTGGAATGTGCAAACATCGAATATTCATATATTTGGGGGCAAGGCTGTGGAAGCCATAATGAGATTGTCATTATAGAGAAAAACCTTCGATAATATCACAGTCTTATTTATAGGATTTCCTTAACTGGAGAAAAAGTTAAAAAATAAATCATAAATTTAACAATGATACTGTATTTCAATCCATTATCTTTTGTTACATATTTTAATCTTTATATTTATCAATATACTTTGGTTTGAGTTCAGTTTTTAAACGAAATCTTTTTACATTATTACTCTTTTGATGGTTTTCTCGAATTAAGAACTTCAAATTCTTTTTAATTATCCTTATGCTATATCGATAAATGGTTTTTAGGTGATATTATTATAAGACTTCATTGATATTCCACTCTGGATCGAAAAATGTGTAATTTTAGATTTCGTCAATGTCAAAATTCTAGGTCATAGTTTAATGTATTTCTTCTTTCTGAGTAATTGTTTAAGATTTCATTTTTCTTGCTTGCATCATTTAGTAATATTCAATTAAGAATTGATTATACATAGTCCTTTGCTTCTAATTCCGAGTTCTTAAGAATTTGACTTTAGGTCTTCTTAATCTTAAAGAGATGTAGTGAAATTATTAGCAAAATTTAATGACATGACCTTTACGATTGCAACCGTAGCATTTGATATCTAAATCAAGAAAGTCGTTATTTTCTAGTCTTTGTTTTATCATATGAAACTTTTAGAATTGCTCATAATTTAACGATTGTAAAAATTATTATCTAGACAATTTGACTAAATTGGTTGTTTCGGTTGTAATTAGTTCAGCCGTTCTTGGAATATTGGAGAAGAAATTGATTATTCCAAAACATTATTCTGCATATTCAAGATGCACATTATTAGCCATAACTGAGACTTTACCTTGAACAATATAATAGATGTGGTTCTAGTCTTCGATTTTGGTTTCTGGAGAGAGAACTTAAAATAGCAAATAGAAAATACTGTATTCATTTAGTTTGATGGCTCTGGACATTGTGACTGGAAGTGCTTTAAAGAATCTTAAGTTCATTTGAGTGATGACTTGATTTCGTAATTCTTCAGAGAGATCGCAGATAACAAGTGAGGATCTTACCTCATAATCATTTTCGACTACCCATTCTAAATAATTTTGGATTTTATGTCTTAATCGACCTGAGCAACCATGAGTTTTAGTATATTTGTTGATGATTTGTTGTTTAACTATCAATTCTGTCAATTAGGGATCTTGATACTGAAAGATAGATATCATGCTGTTGGCTGTGTATCCAAATACACCTGAAGCCAAAATCATAGCGAAGATAGTGTAGATCTATTCTTCTGCAGTGTATGGATGAACATCACCGTAGCCAACGGTGATCATTGTGGTAATTCTTAAAAATCATTTTCATATTATACGTGAAATAAAAGGATGTTAAGTAATCATAATCATCTTGATTTGTCAAATTAAAAATACATGCACTCCAATGGGCTATAACTACAATTATAAATGTTAATTTGATGAATTCCATAAAGGATGAGAAATCATTCCCAAGAAATGTCTCCAATCTTCTAATCAAAAGCTTCAATTTAAAAGCTTTGATCATTTTAATTACTTTAAGAAACTTGAAGAATCTCAACATTCTAATCATTTACACGTTGCCTCCCTATCGTTATGCTGATATTTACTTCAACAAAATAATCATATGGCAATGAGCTTATTAGATCCAACCAAAACCAAAATTTCAGATAATTGCATGTGATGCTTGATCTCTTTAATACTATTTTACCGTCTATATAGATGGCACAATTGAATTGAATGAGAATATCCACTAAGAAGAAATCATCCATAATTTCCATAAACAAAGATGTTCTCTCATCATCAATCTCGAAGGATAACATAAGAGGTATAATCATCATTTGAATTACAATAAATAGCATCGAGATGATATCCCAAACTAATCTAAAAGGATGGTTGGGTTGCCAAGGAGGAGGAATGAGAGTTGTTTTAACTTTTTGTTTTGTTTCTGATTCGTTTTTTCTCAGAAACGTATGAAAGTCATGAGTGTAATCTTCCCTTAATTATTTTTCAATATTCATAATAATAAAATAGTTTAAAAAGCACAATTTACGAATAAAATAGCATCAAAACAAAGGAATAACTTTAAATTAATTTTGATCCTTTCCAAATTGATCTGTCTATATCAGAATCTACTTTAGACAATTGACATTGTACAATAACCCTAGGCAAACATAGTGTCTAACTAATAGGGAAATAATATTCCTAAATTAAAGAATATGATTTAGATAATGTCTGGAATAGTGTATAGAAAGAATTTCTCGAATTTAGAGAGTTAAGAAAATTAGTGGATAAACTTTGTTCTGAAAAATAAGTAATGTTGGTCTAAGTTTATGATAAACTCACCTTATAACTTTATTAGGTTTAACTTCATAATTATGGTAACTATTTTTTTATTATCCATTAAATTTGTTTAGTTATAGAAACTAGGTAATTGCTTTCACTTGAATTGCAACATAATAAAATATAAGGATGGTAAATAAGGTTGCTCTATTTCTACTTAACTCATAGTTTGTTCTTCTGAATTATTTTTTGCGAAAGATTATATCAAAGTTTGACATTAATCCACATTCTCTTTTCCTAATAAAAGCATAATACGCTTTTATTGTTTTCTTCTTAAATTATTTCCCCTTCGTACTAATATGAACCTTTAACTTATATTTGGTTAATGTAATTACAAGAACAGCATCACAGCCTAAATTCTTACCATAACCAAGATAAGAACTTGCCTATAAGTTAATGTTAAGTCAAAATTAGTAATAATCAACTATTTTTGAACGCATTCATATAGAGGATTCTCCTACTCAAAGGCAAATAAATTCCATTATTATTCCCAAAATATATAATATCATAACCAAATCTGTGAGCTCATCAGATATTTTATGTATTTCTAACAAGTAATTATATGTAAGATAAAAAACCAACTCTCAAACTCAACAAATTTTAAATTCCATTTGCCATTCAATTGCTTTTATCTTTTAATTAGAATTAATCCTCTATTAGAGTCCCATTCAAGTACTTTATTATTTTCATAGCAAAAATGGTAATATTATGAAATTATCAATGTTTTAGTTATATTAATTTATTTATACAAGGCTTATTTTGTCAATAAAATGTACTAATTTAGATCTTCCATATATTATGAACCAAGTGATAGCGGCAGTGTCAAGTCGGTTTAGGTGGGAAATGCCAAATAAGATTAAGTTAGATATCTCACAGATCAATTATAAGCAGTGATTATGTTTAACGAAAAGCTTGAAAAAGAAATCAATACCTTAAAACAATAAAATTAACAATTAAAATAATCAGTTGTTGATAAAGATAGGTTAATTTCAGAGGCTCAAGAATCCTCATCAAAAACCATAAGTAAATTGCAGTAATATAATTGTTTTACTTTTAGTGTTCTATTATCAGAAAACAAAAAATTGTAAGAAATCGTGATTTCTACAAATAAAAACTTAAAAACTTCCAACAGCAAAGTTCAATAACTTTAACAAGAAAATAATGTTTTAAAATAAACAATGCAATAATAAGAAGAATACCATGTAGAGGAAATGAAAAAAAGAGCCAATGAGCTTGAATAACATTATCAGTTGATGTAAAATATTGTTTCAGATCTAACATCATAAGTTTCATAATTATGTGAGGAAAAATAAAGACTGTAAAATGAATTAGACGAAAAAAATAAATTACAACAAAAATGAATGTTTATTATTTTGATAAAATTGATTAAAAATTAATAATAGTGTTTTTAATCTTCCGAAATAAAGAATGAAATTTTGTAAAAAACCCAAATTTGAATTTAAATATCCACGTAAACCAGAATTGTTACAAGATGTCTGAATTTAATCAAAGAAATAAATGAAAGTCAATAACTATTTTTTCCAATTCCTTTTTATTCTATCCATCTCTTAATAGAATAATAATTAATTTTAGTTATGATCTAAAATACAATTCAATATGCAAAATAATAATTGAAATAAATAAGAATACAAGCAAAGCTGCTTCAAAATTATCACAATTCCCATTCATTACAAATAATAATCTAGTTTTCTATCAAGTTCCCTAATATTATTTAAATTAGTTAAATTCAATATCCTTTTAATTTTATCAACTATTCTTAAATACACCTCTTAATCCACTACTAAACAAGCTCCTTTATGGTTCAATTCGCCTTTATTACATCTAAAATATTTGCATAATGTAAAGACTAAATCCTTAATTTACAATTAAATCTTACTTCATTTAATTACGCTTATTTTTTATGCTCTAAATAAGATTGCAAAATCTATTTGATAAATTTCCAAACTTCCTTTAAACTTGGATCTGATTAGCAAAAGTAATCTTGAGGGGCACATTAAATAACTAGATCTTTTAAACATCTAATAAACTTTTCGTTCTCTTTAAATTATTATTTTAGTGATTTAACACCTTCGATAACTTCCTGATTTAAAAGACTAAAGCTTGAATTGATATTTTTGCTATCAATAGTTAGGTTAAGTTCATCTGCTAATTATTTAAAAGTTTTTTCAAATTGTGTTAAATCGCATTTCTCAATTACAGAAATCTAATTATTAATCGATAGATTATTAAATTCAAGATTCTACTTGAGTTCATGAAGTTACTGTCTAAATTAATCTACTTTAGCCAATAAAGCTTTATTTTCTCTTTCAAGTTATTAACACGAACACTCTTTTTTAGAGATGAAGTTTTAAGGAATTGCTAAAAATGAATAGATTCACTTCTTACAATTAATAAGATGCTTTTCTTATCTTATGTCTGTTATTTTTCTAATATCTTTTTGACTTTTTTTGAGAGACATTAATTCTTTATTTTTTGATTAGATCTCCTATCTACACTCCTATAATTATTATTCATAAATTTCAATTTATCTAACTTGCTATTAAATAATCTTATTTTTCTCATTTCTCAATAAATCAATTTATTAAGTCATATTTTTCAAAGTGCTTGTTAACTATTTTTAGAGTTCATCAATTAAACTATCTTTGGCTTCTATTTTTTATTAAAATTCACTGTAAACTTTACAAGGAGACGTTTACGATTGCATCGAGAGTTCAGTTACTTTTGAAAGATCTACACATTCTTACAATTCATTAATAACACTACTAAATATATATGATGATTAGAAATTACTTTTAAGATTTCCTAGTAACAACAGTGTCGCAACTTTCAAATCTGAATTTAGGCGATAAAAATCCAGGATCATTTTCTTTTTATGAAATACTATGTTATCGTTTAGTTTTTAAAGGCTATAATTATGACTAATCTGCATTGATTCCGAATGTATTTAAGGCTTTTGTAAAATAATCATGTTCATAAGATTTAGATCGTATGTGTCCAGGTATAGATTCAATTTTATTGCTTTGAGATTCATAGTTTTACAGAACATTAATTTCTGGTTATTTGGTGTTATATTGAAATTGCTTCTTTTTCTAAGGAGCTTGTGTAACTCTATTGTTGCAATCTGTTTAGTATTGGACTTTCATAATTTGTATTTATTTCAAATTTATTTTACAAAAATTTCATCAACTGATATTATATTATTTTTTATTTAATATTCATTGATTTGCCAAACCTCCTACAAAGCAAGCAGCTGTAATTCTTGCTTGGGTATTTATATTCAATTTGATATCACTAAGATCCTTATCAATATTCTCCACATAATCTATAATAAAATTAATAATCCCTTGAACATTGTATTTCTCTAAATGAGAATCTAAAATCAAGAAACTTATATCATATCCCTAAATTATTAAGATGAAAACATACTGGGATTGGCTTCCTTCTCAAAATTTCAAAATAATCAGCTCTCACGGCTAGATACTTGGCGAATTTCTCGCCTATTAATCTATCAACATCGTCTAAAGCTTTAATTGAAAAGCTAATCTATAGATTCTATAATATAGAATTACTCTTGTTGAATTAATCGAAGGTTCAATAACGCATTTTTCTTTTTCACCTCTACACAAATATATAGGGGACAAAACTAGTTGTCTAGTTTTTGATGAATAACTAAATATGATAGAAATGAATATTCTTACCCATTCAATTCAATTTCTGGTTTGCTTTATTTTTCAATGATTTCTGATGGAAATGATCTCAAACATAATGTAGCCTCTAATGTTTTTCTGATGGCATCTGAATAAACTTGATTTGCTGCTGCCATTAGTATAATGTTTTATTAAATTTATATATATTTGAGAAATCAGATATAAAGAGAAATATTAATAATATGTATTACAACTATGTAATTGTTTAGTGCTCATAAACACTCTTTTTTCAATAAATGGGAAATTGCAGTTTAGAAGTTGGAATAAATGTTATTAAAATATATTCATATAAATCAAATAGAAAAGTATAATTAACTTATAAAATTTTAATTCTTTAAATATGCATAGTTCTCTTTCATCAAACAAATTATAATGTGATAAACATCCACATTTCAAGAATTAAAATTATAAACTAATTTTAACATGGTTTTGAAAGGATTAGAAGGAATTTTGTGATAATATCAAATATTGTGTGATTGAATACCAATGTTGGATGATTTTACAACTGATAATTCTTCAATTCATAGATTCACATAAGATTTAGTAATTTAATAAAAAAAAAATTGCAAGATATTAATTATTAGAAGATTTAATAGATTAAGAGTTATAAATACTACTTCTTCATTCTTTTCTAGTTAGTTTTTAGAAAAAGGAATGAATAAATTACTTTGCTGAATAATTCTTAAAATAATATTGCTTTTTCAGATTAAATGACAAAATATTAAACTGATGACAAAATTTTAGAATAACTCAGAACAATATAGAATTCGAGAAATAGAATAAATTTAAACTCAATTTTATTCTACAAACCATCCTTATGTATTAAAGTATTTGATTTCAGCTATAAAATAGCAAAGAATAAAGCCTTACTATATTTTTATTATTAGAAAAAATAAAATGATCACAATCCCTATCTTATTAATAATAAGAAGATAACACTAAAACAAAACTTTTGGAAATAGAATAAAAACATAATAATGGAATATTCTGCAATATGAATAATGTAATAACTATTTTCGAAAATCTAAAGATGCAAGGAATTAATATTAACTATAATATATAATGTTTAAATACCAAGTTTAGTTTGTATCTTCTCCGATGAAGAGAACTTTAAATTCCCTTTGATAATTAGGAGTTCCTATATGCTTAAAACGATCTTGTAATATAAACTAAGTGAAAAAAATAGTTTCCAAGTGAATGCAATTCTTCTCGATGTTGGGAGATCTAATATTATCAATAAAGGAAATTGTACCAACAAAAAGATGTATGTGAAACATCGTTAATACATAATGCACCGATTGTTTTAATATTTTTTCATTTATTCGTCAATTATTTCAATATAAGTGGTTATGACTCAATTTTATAAATTTTCTTTTGCACTAATTTTTAATTGATAAGCAAAACAACAGTAATATATTTTTTTATTTTAATAAAACCTACATATTTATAAATCTTAATCAATATTATGAAAATATATCATTTCTTGTTCTCTTCATCTCACAATATCTGTAATATTTTTTGTTTGTTATTTTCTGAAATTAGCTTTCGTATAACCTTTATTGAATTAAAAAATAAAAATTTACTTCATAAATTCTAATCTATGTATCAAATTCTAACAAGTATGCTTAATGCTTTACTACAGACCAATTGAAAATAAAATTACCTGTAGATAATAATTGTTGGAGAATCCATGCAATTCCAATAGCTTAGCAAAGTGCTATATTATATGGAAAATAATAAACAACTTACGAAATATGATTTATAGATTAAGAAATGGCACTAGAAACATTGATTTCTTGTCAATAGACAGCTAAAGAAAGATACAATAATGTTGCTAATAGATGCTGAACTATTGCAGCTCTCAACAATCTCTCAATAAATACTCATTTAACTTCTTCAAATTGATCCAAAATGATGCTTTAAGAGGATACTAATTTTAAATACTAAATTGCTCAGTATTAATCCCTCATTTCCTTATTTAAAAACTTAAAATCTCTTAAGCAAAATTTACATTATTTAAAAAAATATGGGCATTTGTAATACCAAAAAGCAATGTTAAAACACTATGAACACTAATCCAACTTCATAATATTCAACCAACCCTTCAATTCTAGAAAAAATAACTAATCCAAAAAAAAAAAAATAAAAACCTAATATGAATATTGTTGTTTCATCTGAACCTTAACAATACGATCCATTAAGTAACTAATTGTCCTTATTCAAGATCCTCATAGATAATTTAATGTAATTATAAATGGTGTGAGATTTGAGATAATCAACTCAATTGAAAACTGTATTATTTCTAATGAGGAATTAGAGGAGTGAATAATTATCGAAAGATGTATCATGTACATGATTATATGTCTAATTATTTATAATTAAAATCAAATGACATCTTATATTTATTATATTAAAGATAAGAAATCTTTTCACAAGATATATTATGATTACAAGTAGTTAAATAGACTGAAAACAAGGTCTTAATGCACATGGTTTCTTGAGAATTGAAGAAGAGACGAATTTCTAAATTGTCAAGTTTAAATTGTTTAATTATTTTCTATTTGTTTCATTTCATAAAGTTACTTGAATAAAATAATTCAGAGATCAGCAATACTTCTTCTTATCATCTTTTATCTTCCCATTAGACTTTCATCAGCTTATTACTATTATAGCAAAATAATCTAAAATATTTCTTAAATGAATACTTATGTTTAGAATGATTTTTTTAAGTTATCTAATTGGTATGAGTAAGCCTATTCTAACCTCTTCTTTTAGTTCTCCATCATTTGACTAAATTACATATTATTGGTTTGGGAATGCACTTCTAACTTATCTAATAACACCTCTTATTCTCTTATCGTATTATTTTAAGATTAAATTATTAAATTTTACTTGTATGTTTCCTCCTTGAGTTCATTGCACTTCATTGTGAGCTAGACTTAAATATGATGGGTTACTTATTCTAAAGATGTACGAAGTTGTGCTATTTAGCTTTTTTAAATTTCTAATTCATTCTCATATTCCTAAACAATAATATCATAGTTATTTTTTAATGACTTTTTTTACAGTTAGTTTTCGTTAAGATTCTATTCCTATGAATTTTAAAGGTTGAACAGTTCTGCCTTCAATTTTTAAATATCCTTCTCATTTTAATCAAGTATTGATGTTTTATCTAATATTTCTATTTTTAACAATTAAATTTATGAAAGTTGATTATTTATTTATTCGTTAAGCTTTTTTTCTTTTTGAACTAATTCATCGATTTTAATAAGGACCTCCTACTTCTCTTTTCCATGTTGCTTTAATAGTTTTGAGTAATAGCTCTAAATCTCTTCTATGCGTAATTAATGTTATTCGTTTAGCAAATCCTCCCTTTGAGGCTGCTCTGACTTTAGCTAATTAATTTCCTCTTGGTATTTATTGATCAATGAGAGGATGTCTTGTGATTCCTTCTTGAGATTTTAGATCTTTAAGGTGCTAATTTATTCTTCCTGATTTAACTGAGCTCTATATTTTGAGTTGGTTTGAATTAGCGTTTCTATTTCAGCATTTTTTATTCCTATTATTTCTTTTAACTTGTTAATTTCCTACTCATTTATTTTTTGCACTCCCAGAAATCCTTGTTTTTGAGTCTCCAATAGGCTTTCATATTATTCTTTAGTTTTTGTTCTTACCAATTCTAATTGCATTTAATGGTCCTTTAACAAAATCGATTATTTGTTTCTAATATTTTCTAATTCAGATCTTAAGTGAACACAATCGCAACTCATCTTTATGATAAATAATAAATGATAATTAAGTATAAATTTTAATAATTATTTGTTATTTTTTGCAATTCAAATAATGATTAAAATAAAATTTATGAAGCAAGATATATTCTAGTAATATTGAGATCCAAATATTTTATATTTTTTGATTTTATGTTGGAAAAAATATGATGCTTTTGTTAAAATGTTTTTAATTTTATAAAATGGTAGGAAGTTAAGAAAATGAAAATAAAACAATTTAAGAACAATTCCTAAATAAAATTATTAATTACTTTATTCCTTTAACACATTAAGCTAATCCATATAGTTCATATTGAATTGCCATCACTTCAAATTAAAAATATAATCCCCCTTTCAACTCAAGAGAAATTGTAAATTTTTTTGGAATAAATTTATATTATAATTAAAAATAGCCAAAGAAATTATTACATTCCTCAGAAATGTTCTCGTCTATGCAGTTCTGATTTTCTTTGAATTTTTTTAAACAAAGGTAGCAGTTCTAACATATATTAGATTTACATATTTTATATGAAATTTTAAATTATGACGTCTTAAAACTAAAAATATAAGGTTGATTGGAATATTCAAAATAGTATTATTCTATTATATGATTACTATTTATAATATATACAAACTTATTATATCATCAAATAATGTTTACAATATTTATAATTAGGGAAACTTGGGTCATCAAACCCAAAATTTATATAATTTCATGATTATATTGACTATTTAGTTAGTGATTATATCCATAGATCATATATAATTTATTGTAAGTCTTGCATATTCAGAAAAACTTATCAACTATTATTTAAATTGATCATTGTTTGAAACTTATAATTTTGATAAAAAATTTACTAAGTTCTCAGGGCTTCACTATATTATGTTATAAATTTATTTTTAAATTAAGTAAATTAAAAAATAACGACTTCGAAAATGTGCAAGCAAACTCGAATATTTCTGCAGAAATATGGAGGATTTTAATTTTTTAAATAGAAATTGGTTAATAATTATTATTAGGCGATGATAAATGTATGACACTTACATTTTAACTTATTTTGCAAGTTCTGATTGAATATTAAATTTTCTGAGTTATTTTCAAAAATTAGCTGACATTATCCGAAAAATTGTATAAACATAATATAAATTCTCTATATTAGTATCTGTAAAATATTACTACATAATAATAATTAATATTTATTTAAACAATGGGAGTTTGTGTTTCGAAGGAAAAGAAAAACAAAAGCTTCAAATGCGCTACAAAGTCTTAATTAAACCTTTAAAATTTTATGATAACTTAAGATAAATAAACGACTACTTTATATCACTCAACTAAAATCCAAGCTGAAGTTTAACCGAGAGAATATGATTATACAAGTGATAAATATGTATATCTTTAGATCCACATCGATAATACAATGTATTATTAAATGGAGTGGTTTTTGCAGTTGTGAATTCTGTTGAGAGATCTTTCAACGAAGAGCCAATCAATAATGAAGGTTGATAAATGTATTTTTTATGTTCTAAGAATAATCTATCATCGTAGCATAGACTTTCATTTTCTTACTACCTAGAATTCAAATTTTTTATATGTTTCTACTTATTATATCTTTTAAATATCAAAATTATTAAAAATATTATTATCAATCAATAGAATTAGAGAGTAAATTAAGAAAGTAAAATATCTGTCAGAGGAAAATATTCTTAAGTTAGAGGATTTTCACATTGTCTTTATTTTGAAATATGGATAATATCATTTTTAATATTTTTCACAAAAACATTTGATAAATGCCAAAAATAGCAATAAAAAATCTAGTAAATTCTGATAGAAAATAAGCTAACTTCTGGTTTCGTTTCAAGTATGTCTTGTTGCTCTATAAGTCTATGATAGATCCCCTTAATTTGAGACCTGTTCCTATTCTTGAGAAATTTATTAAAAGAACTCCTTAAAATTTCTACGTTAGTTCTTATGGAAAAAGGAACATATCTCCTCTTTACTTATAAGGATATAATGATATTTCTTGAATTCTAATAAATGAGAAAGAGCTCAAAAATAAGTGAAATTAACAGTATGGTATTTCTATTTTTAATAAATCATTTACTTTATAATTTTCTGTTTGTCAACAAGAGTGATAGCTTTCCGAGGAAAACACTGGCTAGGATGACATACAAAAATTGGAATTGATCATCTTTTTCATACTTTCCCTTTAATAATAACGAGGGGGAAAAATTATTAAGAATACCCCTAATTAGAAATTAAAAGCATTGATTATGTAGGATTATTAGAAATGCTCTGATCTCAGGAGATTTAAATCGTCATCCTATATGTTATACTTTTCGTAGAATAATATTCTTTCATAATTCTTTTCAATCTTTGGACATTCTATATCATGACAACTAGGTGGCTTTATTGCTAAGAAAATAAGTATCTGAATTCCGGCTATAATCGTAAATATTAAAATTCTTAGTATCTTTGAACGTCCTAAAATAAAAATATTAATTCCATAAGGAAGAAGTGCCAGAACATTTTAATAATTCTTATCCATTAAATATAATTGATAATTTTTTAATCTATAAATTAATACATCTTTCATCATTGCAATTCAATTGGTTGCAACAATCATGAAGCAGAAACTCTGGAATTATACTAATTTCTAGCAAAGATTAATATATATATATACATAAATATAGTATTTATTTAATTTCTCAAAAAATTAATATGTTGGATGACATTACTAGTTCAAAAAGTTGTTTGGAACAAGATCTTGGACCTGATAATTAATCACATTTCTTAGAAAAGTACTTTTATGACTTAATTACTGATAATTGTGATCAAATATTAACAAACACCTTATATAGATCCTTAATTGAACAAATTTCAGATAAGAAATAATTGGAAACTATCCTTACTAGATATATCTAGGATTAAATTGAGTTGCAACAACGTTAAAAGATTCATTCCAAATATTTTTTTGCCAAATCAGCAGTTCCTTTCAAAAAGTTATTGTAATAGTTTAGACAATTGTTGATTCCAGAGGAAAATGTAAGCCATACAAGTAGTACATTAAGTTAATCCTTTGAAAAAAACAATAAAAGCAGATTTTTCAAGAATTCTGACTTTATAGAATTGTATGAAAATTAACCCTTCGAAGAAATGGCTGAACTAAACAAAGGAGAGCTTATATACATTGATGTTAGGTTTCGTATTACAAATTCATAATTAAAAGATGAACTTTACAAAATACGATCTCATATCTTGAAATAATTACTTTATTAAACTAATACTGATGAAAAGTATATATTTAAAATATTCATAGTTTCTTTTAAACTTTTAATGATTATTATCGATTAAAAACAATTACAGTTCTACTTTTTGTTAATGGAGACATTAATTTTGATTATGAAAAGTATTTTGACTTCAAGGAATTGCAAGTTGGATAGAAGAGATTCTTGATCAAACTTAAAGTAAATTCTTTATAAATTATAAAGGTTTGTTATGTCTCAGCAAATAGACTCTACTCTAATTTTTGTATCTCAAACAACATTATTAGCCATACTATTACATAATAGAATATGGCATTTTATGAATTGAAGAGGTACGGTCAGTGTAAAGTGATTATAAATAAAACAATTGGAGAATTAAGAAGAATGAAATAGAAAAGCAAATTACAGCATTTTTAAAGATTATAAATTATACATCTTAGCATTAGGTAGTATGGCAACTATAGGGTTATTGTGGAATAGTTTTTCAAAAAAAGGGAATTATGATAGGGAATTAATTAGAAAACAATGAGTATACTGTTAATATTTTATAAATTTTATTTATTTAACTGGCTAATAGAATGAACTAACCAAATCATGTTATTTCAGAGAATCTCGTGATTTCATAACCACTTTATGACAATGACTAAGCAGCATAATCTATATACGATAAATACCTAAGAGACTGTTCTTTAATACCAATCAGATTGATTGAGGAATCGAAGGAAACTTAAGAAAGACCCTTTGCAGGAACAAGGCAAAGTAGTTAACAATAATAAAATCAAAGGAATGGACACAATGTTTAGGAGTTTAGTTCTTTGGAGAGGGAATAAAGAAACAGAAACTAATAATAAACGTATCAAGCAAATTATTAGTAAGATCAATAATATTAATAATATCAAAATAATCAAATTAGATATCCTCATTAGAATATGTATTATCATCAAAGATAACAGAATTAGTTGTAAAATTATTATTATGACTAATAATTCCATTATCATTAAAATAGAAGAAACTACTAAAATCATAGAATGGAATAAGAATATTATGGCCATCATCAAATGAGGAGGTAAGAGTAAGGCAAAAATTCGCCGTCATTGCCGGTCATTCTG